CTTGTTAATTATTCGCTTATTAGCCTTGACTGTTTTCACATGAGCGTATATGTGTGTACACTTCATGTCCCATGACTCATCACATGTCTGTAGTTTATTTTGTCTGCCTATAAATATTGAGTAATGCACGGCTTGAAATGGAGTTGGCTTCCCAGCTATCTTCCATACGCTCTAAATGGGGTCAGATTCACGGGCACAAAATCACCACAAAACTTCTCATTTCCTGCTGTGATCCAGACCAATTATGTAGTCACTATTTCACTAATACCGACTCTTTTTACTGCAATTTGATTGGTTCAGTCTCATGAACAGTGTCTTTTTTTATTGGATGGTCCTAGTCAATTCTGGAAGTGGTCTCTCGGGAGCGGGATCGTTGATGCTCATTGTTAAGGAGTCCCACATTAGGACGAAATAGCCGCCCAGTGCTTACAGGTTTTCCATGATAATCTAGCATTATTTTACTCATGAACTCAACTATTGAATCACTATACTCTCCATAAAACCCCCCTTTCTAATAATTTTGGAATATATCAAAAATTATACTTTGGATAGTAGTATAGTTAAAATTTGATCGTTAAATTGAATGTATAACAGTTAATCACTTGTAACATTATGCCAGAATAATGTTACTACTAAAAATTAATTATAATACAAGCTATATATCAATGAAAACTAACTGAATATCTTAAATCAATTACATTCACAAAGATCTCATTCAATATGTCTTATTGTGTTTTCGCTTTGTTTTTATGGATATGATTATGAATACAGTGGTCTTGAGTGCTGTTAGAGGTATGAGGGCATTTTTCACCTTACGGTTGCGCACACCGTGGAAGGGTTCTTCTGGAGGTACCTGAAAAGGAAATTGGATTACAGGTGGTCTTAGTGGCCTGAGAGCGTGGCCGCAGTGCCCAACGGACAACTGCTTGAGGTCGGTCACACACGACATTTTCATGGGCAATTTTTGTGTTAGCTCCGTACTTGCTGATACCTTACCGCCGGAGACGGATATCCGTGGGATAAGGTGAGGTGTGTATTTTTAGGGCCGACCTTTTCTAACCCCACCCCTTCTTATGGGAAGGCAGCATCGCTGTCATACTGGTTGTCTGAAGGAAACACCTTACTACTGTCACACATCTGTTCAGTCAGCAGTACGACTTCATCTTCGAACCTTGGGTTTGTTGGTTGTAGTCTTACCGCTCTTCAACTGACCTGTCTGATATGGTAGGACCTTGAGGAATGGTTATTCTAGCCAGTATAGCTAAGTTGCTTAATCACGACGGAGAAGCCCGACCACCACGTCAATGTACCAACAACAGTCGGGTGTTTATATGGATACGAAATTCACTATAAAAAATTACAATCCAGTAACAAAGTCTTAACACCAGTTTTTTTCTTGACATTGATTTATGTACATTATATCAGAAATACTTTTTATTCATTAACATTTATACAAAGAATAATATTTCATATTTATGTTTACAAGTTTAAAAGTATAAAGCACTTTGTAAAGGAACAGTGAATAATCTAAGATTATGAAAGATCATTTTAAAATTCATCGAATGAAATGTAGTTTTATCACATTACAATAGATTATTACTCTTATAGGTATACTAAATAATCACTTTCAATGAAATACAGTATGTTCAATTGCTAAGTAACCTTTAACATATCAACAATCACAACGACAATAACAACAAACAAGGGAACAATATAAATTAATATGAGACTATTTTTCCCAATATATAATTTTTATGTTTCATAATTATCAAATACTGATCTGGTTATAAATTAGTTCTGAAATGAAAATATGTTTAGAATGTTACTAATTAGCTTTTATGTACCTTAAATGTTTACGAAAAAAAACAAAAAATTAATTTAACATCATTCTGGTGGTGGTGGGATAAACTTTAAGCTACTGTTTCTCCCAGAACTATATTTTTTGTTTGTTTCTGATTCATTATTACTTATAAGTAGATATTATCTACACTTCTAAAGTTTTATGTTATAAGATAAATTTCTTTATTTTATAACCCAAAATAATAATGATAAGAATATAATTATTTACATAATGGAATAACTCTAGTTATTTGACAAAGTTATTCAAATATTTTTCGATCGAATATTTTCTTTATAGTAAGAATGAAACATTAGATCTATGAAGAATTAAATTAGAATGTGTAGTATTAGTCGATATCCATCTAGTAACAAATTCAATGAAATATCTATAACTAAAGGAAGAAAAAAAGAAAAGAAAATGTTAACCGAAAGTATGAAATGAAATAAATCATTGTATTAAGCTTCTCATGAATACATGTTCTTGATTGTTTCTTAATAAGTTCATGTATGCAGAAGATGATGTAAAGTAAATATAATTACAATATCAAGGTATGTGATTAATCTAATGTACTGTAAAGCATTTGTAGTATATAATTGTAGTAAGGTAAACGCGTAAAACTTCAGTATGAAGAGAAGTTTTATTAGTAGGCGTAATAATAAATGTTTGTATAGCTTTCCAAGCAACATCTAAGTCAACTTAGTTTTCAGAACTACCTAATTCTGACCTCAGTTGTTCCTGAACCTACTTTTGGTTTTCTCGCTACTCAATTCAGTTCTAATGGGTCCTTTTACTGTGGCTGACTGATTGATGATAATTGTTTAATTGTATGGGGGATTTGTGGAGATTGTAGTATTTTAAGAGTTGAATTCATGAGTTAATCTAAACTGGACTACCATTAAAAACCTGAAAGCAATGGACGGCCGTTTCGTCCTAGTATGGGACTACTGAGTAGTGAGTATACATGGTCCCTCCGTGACCAATTCAGTCCAAGTCCAGGGTGTAAGACAGTCGTCCTCCTCAGGCAATGGATGGAATGTTGAGTAAAACCATGGGTTGATTGAAGTTAGACGTTAACACCACTGGATGTCGATTCAGTGGTCTTGGTTTCAAGCGTTTACGCGCAAGACCGAAGATCCTGGGTCAGAGTCCTTCGGCTGGGTAGTGAACGCTCTCTGCTGAGGAGTCTCATACTAGGACGAAACGACCGTCCAGTGCTTCCAGGTTTTCAATGGTGGTCTGACTTAGATAAAGCAGGGTTCCTGGGAATTAAGGATCGAGTTCGCTGTAGTAACGAGAACGAAGTTGGAATTAAGTTATGATTTGGTAGGAAGAACCGAATCGATATAAGGAAAGCTCGAATGTTCCACGATCTGTATGATAAACGCTCTTTCGACAAATATGTTTCATTTTGTAAGCGAGGAGAAAGAGTTGACACTAGTCGTATCTCCTTGTGCGATAGAAGGCGGCACACATCTTGGACCATAGGAATGTTCATGACTAACACTGTCTAGTCAGTGAACATTCAGTAAATTTCAGGTTCTTAAAAGGGACATTAAGAATATAATAGCATCATTAGTCAGCGGTTTTCTTATAACTATAAAAATGAGAACAGATTACTATTGACATTGACCATATATAATTTTCAAATAAAGAAAAACAAACACGAAAACATAGTAAACTGAAACAAAACGGAGATACAAGTAATAAGTAGTTATATAATTTGGACCAATGCTACCGGAAAATATCATCATTTATGTCTAACAGTGCGTGCTATTTTCATATATAAACTGAAAATCACCAACTAACACAAAACCTAGATCCAGGGTCTTCCGTAGATCTCCTCCAGTCAATTAACATAGATTGCAATGTATAAAAAATGTATTTAGAAAGAAACATATTTGATGAAGTTTAATTAATAAAATAGGACTAGCTTCACATAACTTTGTAGTATATATAAAAATTAAATATGACAAATTCTTCCGTAAGTTCAACAAACTATTTCCCGAATAAGATATACCGTTTGTAATGAGAAGAGATGTGATAACAAATACTCCAATCGTTTTTGAATATTGTCTATCATACACTTCCATCCTCTTGTTATTACTTCATCTTTCAAAACTACCTACCATCAAATAAGCAGAGCTATTTGGAACATATATATAAATAGAAATTAAAAAAACTCCATATTGTGATTTAGAACAACATATATAATAGGAGAACAGTATTGTTTTCGATTAGATCCTCACCAGGCTTTATTGTAATGTACAGTGATATTTAGATGCACATACAAAATTATTAAACAAATCAAGGCAATTTATGATTCCGTGATAACAGTAGAATAGATAACATAGATAAATATAATAAGTAGTAAGTGTAGATTGATAGTGTGATGACAGATCTACTAGTTGTAATAAGAATAATAAAGGCTTGAATCAATGTTTCATAATGGTAAATCGGTCAATGACTTGAAAAACAAAGATATTAAAATAACATTCATAAAAACCATAGGATTATGTAATGAGGAGTTTTGAGATAACTGGACAAAAATTTCTTATGAATTCAAAGACTTGAATCATTAGCTCAAATTCCTATAGCTTCTGCTATTTGTAAGAGATGAGATCGAACCCCATAAGGACAGCTATTAGGTATACGATAAACCACTTTAAATGACTTATTTCTATCTACATGACCGACGTGTGATAAAATAAACTGAGTATTGTTTTGAGGATATCCTTTCCTAACCACGAATGGAGATGTGCACCAACTCATTGTGTCAGTTGTCTGGTTGTTCGCTCAATATAACTTTCTTCACCGGAGCAGCTGAATTTGTAGATACAGATAGATGTGGAATATAAATATTACTGTATATTAGAGTAAATCTTAAAGAAGATTTAATCGAAAACAATATTGTTTGCTTATATCTACTGTTCTAATTCCAGAATGATGGAGAAGAGTTGCAGCCAAAATATACATCATGGATATTATTGTGTTCTCTGAACAATTATGCCGTCCAACTCAGAAAATGTGTTACCACCAATTTACGTATCTAAGATCTTATGTTACCCAATCAGGAAGCATTCTAGATACTATTAGATTGCTTTTTTTTAGAAGTTTGATAAGAAAATAAAATTGTAACCAATCATCTAATCAAATAAACTAGTTATTTCTGATAAATATAAAATGGGTGGGAATGTGGGAAAATAAAAACTTGGCAGAAAAAAATAACGTTATTACAACGTAAATTCCTTAATCTATTTTATCTACTACTACATTATTCCAATGGAAAATAGTTCTCCTGTTGTTCAACAACCAACATCAGTACAAGTAAGATCAACACATATTTCTTTTTTTTTCTTCTTTTGAGAAGAAAAAACTCTTTAGTCATAACTAATGATCCAGTTTTTATTTATTTAAAAATATGGGCATTTTTCAAAACTTTGAATTGTATAGGGTTGAAATCACACTGAAATTATTTTGAGAACACCCAAGCTTAACGAATAGTGTATAGTAATCATCGAATGATTGAAAGAACGATCTAATTTTCAATCACTGGCTTCAAGAGATATATCCTGGAGTTCTAGTGAGAAGCAATGACCAGTGGAGTTTAACCGGGTCAGTTGTGAGGTAATAACTCACTGATGACAATGGTGGATGTGTCGCTCGATTTCGTGAATTAGTTGAAGTTAGACATTAACACCGTTAGATGCCGGCTCAGTGGCCTAGTGGTTAAGCGTTCGCGCGCGAGACCAGTAGATCCTGGGTTCGGATCCCGAGGGGCGGGGTCGTGGATGCGCACTGCTGAGGAGTCCCACAATAAGACGAAACGGCCGTCCAATGCTTCCGGGTTTTCCATGGTGGTCTAGCTTCAATTGACTCATGATCGCAACTGTTGAAATCACTAATATACATGCTTGAACTCCGTTTCACCTATGTTGGTTAAGGCACCTAAATAGTATTGAATCTGATTATTGTAAAACTTCAAATAGTTTATGTAAGCTAGTTCTACTTATAGAGATTTTAGACAACAGACTGGCTTTAAGGAAAAACTTACTAATAACTAAAGTGTTGTACTGATGTTTTATTCATCTTTGAGATATTTCAGTAGATTTTATTGATTAACATATTATTAAATGAGTTGTGATTATGATAAACGATATATTTTGTCGTTAGAAGTAAATAAGTAAGTCGTTTTAAAACAGAAAAACAGATCAATACTTGTTTTTGCATTTGTTAAGTGAGTTGAATATTAGTGATCAAGGCAAATTTGATCACAAGGATATACATAATCTAGTATCACTAATTCTCATATTAATAATAAAAACTAAATGACGGTCAAGATTTCTGAAGAAACTCAAAGGTATGACACGTATTTGGCAGGTTGGTAACATGTTCTTTACTGTACTAAATAGAGTTTTTCACTTTATAACCAGAACGCATACTGAGTTCATACACATATATACTAGTTATTAAAATGGACATAACCCCTCTTTTTATCACTAACATTGATATTAATACTTAATTGTAATTACATGGTGTTACAGATATTGTTTAGTCTGAATCTATAAAAATGACTGACTTTGGTTAGGAAATCATTAAAAAAACTGAGAAGCACTCATTAACCATTTTGTCGCAGTATGAGAATTATCAACAGCACTGATTCACTGTGCCACCGGAGACTGAACCCATAACTTTCAGAACTCGAAGTGACCGTAGATAACTGAGTTAACATCCAATAGTTTACATTCTTAACTCCAACCAATTTTTCAAATCCCACGACCATTCCCAACCCCCGTCAGTGATATCTATTTGATTCTTGACGAAAACGTTTTTTAGTCCTTCTTGGTTTTCAATGGCTATCTAAATAAAGTCAGTCGATGATAGGAAAATTTAGATGGATAATCAACCCATAAATCATTTGTTATTTAAGATTTCGATTAACATCAGGTGAAAAGAATAAAAGCTGTTAAAAGGAAGAAACAAATGTTAACTACAAACTCTCATCTTTGTCCTAAGTCATCTGTTCTGGGTATATGCATATATAATATCAGGATAAAATGTAATTCAATCTTAGTCTATAATCGTTGACTCACACCAGTCTGACTTCTTAAGAACAATTCTTTTTAGACCTTTCAGGTACAACTTTCCTGTAGTCGTCAAATTAAGTTTATATACTGTTATATTGTCTTTCCTAAATACAATGTTTCACAGCTTGCTATAATACAAGCTTTTGCTGTGTGCAGAAAATTTAGCCAAAGTTATGTTAAGTGGTGAAGAAAGTCCGTGGAACCGGATATTATAGTAACCATTATATAAGTATTAGTTGTTTATCGTTTTTAATCTTACCTTACCTGGAGGCTTGAGGCCACTTAACATATGGAAGCCACTCAACTCTAATTGTCACTGACTAACTACCCCTAAATTCACTCAATTTTAACCTAGTCTCTAGACACTCTGAGAAATGATTGTATCTGAATTATATTTGTCGAAAAAAACTTGAAATTAAAGTGTCTTATATGCATAAGGTGACACAACGAGAAGAAAGATCGCTTATCTATTTATTCTTTGAAAATATTTGGAACAATCAACATTTTTAACTAGTAGACCTTACTCGTCTGTGTATCACCTACTGGAAAAATAGCAAATGGATCTTTAAAGCCCATTAAAAATAATCAATGAAAACACAAACGTTTTGATTACTATCCAGTATGCCGTCTGACTGAATATTAATGCTGCATCTCAGATATATTAAAGCTCACTAATAGGTTTTCAACTCAAAAACATTTTAAGATTTAATTACACATACCCATCACTTAAAGTAATTTAAATTTCACATTAAACGGTTGGTTAGTAGTAACTGACGTCATATGAAATTGATTTGTACACATTCAACTGAGTTACTCAACAGAACGATGCACTTTATTTGAATCAACCAACAGAAAGCTCTTGAGTTGAGATTCATTACAATGTTATCGTCAGCTAGTCATAATCTCACTCGACAGAAAACATTTCTCACAAGAAAGCGTTATCACTGAGCTGTTCATGCTTTAACTGTCCTACTTTGATAGTGAATTATTAAAAAAAGCTAACTGATCACTTATTAATGACTGATCTCATGTTATATACCCCTCAGAACTGAATTTAAGGTGAAATCATATCACTTAATCACGTAAATAATGGCTACAATGTGATAAACATAAGCTGTATAAGTAGTAATCTGAAAGACTAGGGTTTGAAGATGTTATTCAAGAAGTATAATCTAGTGAAATTAATTAGGAAAGACAAAAAGAGGACATGAAGAATTCGGAAGATTAGAATTAAGGAGAACGAAAGATTGGATGCACCTGCACCATTCCAAAGGATTTTAAGCCATGTCATTCAAGATCTCTAACCATTGGTTGCTATCGTCTCGTGGATCCCAACCAGGTAGTCTATACCTACCAACATGGCTCAGTCCACTTGTCAGTGACTTCATAAATGTGTGCCATGTTTTGGCCTGGCCGCCCCCACCTTTCCTCCAACCTACTCCTACACCATAAAACATCGCACGTCGGGGCAGTTGGTGGTTGGGCATACGTAACACATGTCCCAGCCATCTCAACTTATGAAACTTCACTACTTCATCAAGTGATTTGCCATCCTTGCCTAGTACCCGTTTCCTAACAATTGCATTACGTACTCGGTAGTCCTGGGATATACGAACAGTGCTTCGAAGACACCCATGATCGAATACTAGTAACCTGCGAATATCCTAAACGAACTGTTGCACAGTAAACCCATCCTTTGGTTGGTAGATGGATATCTCGCTTACGCCATATATGTATATAAATTAATAATCATCATATGCCGTAATATTTTAATCTTTGTTGTGACCGATGAAATTATCACTTGTTCTACTTAATTTAGTTACAGACCATTTGCTGTTGGTGACAAGTAATGTAAATTATTAGAATTCATCTAAGAACACTAATATATCTATTCTAAGACAAATTTTCAAAGTGTTTTTTTTAATGGAAAGATATTGTATTTCGCTGTGGCCTCTTGTTTCATTACTGGAAATTAATTTTCTGTTTTTATATACCTCTATGTATACTTATACATAACTTACGTACAAAATATTACTGTTTTTGTTTTCCAAATAAAATAATGTACATAGAAATTGTGGAAATAATTGTAAGCCTTATCACTATTATTAATATTATCTGCAATATAAACATGCTTTGTTGATCCAATTGATGAAAATCTACAAATCCCCATAGCAACAAGTTGATAAAGCCGGTTACTAACAATAACTGCCCAAATTGTCAAGGAAATGTACTTCATAAACATACATTTATATACTTACGCTTATTGGTATATTAGTTATTTGCTTATACAAGTCATTTAGTTTTCTTTTATGGACACAATAGAAAGGTCATTTTTGTATGAATAAATGGAAAACAATGGAAAAAAATGTAGAGAGAAATAGTGACAAAGGATTATGTAAATAAGTGTATTCTTTCTAGCTATTTTAAAACACTTGATACTTGATAAAGTGTGTGTATGGTAAAGAAAATTAAGAAACTCAATAAAATAAAATGAAAATAGGTAGAAAGGAAAATTTTGATCAGTTTTCCTTAAATATATAAGTTGTTGATATCAAACAATACATTTTAGTGAGGGAGAAAGAAACACTATTTTCTACAAAATCATCTGATAAGTAAAACAATCAACACTGTTGTTAAGTCCGTCAGTAACAATATTGTTACTAAACTAACGAAACAGTACACTCAACAATCAAAAAACACAACAAACACTATAGAGTGTAGAGTTAGGTGAATTGTGGAGGTCCGTTCACATTTTGAATGGTTTTCTTGATGACAAATAATGTTCAATGTGGTTTTCTTAATTGGTTCTATGCTTACTTTCAAATGGTTATTTGGTTTGTTAAAAAATACTGAAATTTATTCCAATCGGAAAATAATGCAACTGAATTATTCAGCATCGTTGCAAATACTGTAAAGTATAAAGGCTTAACAATTTAAATTATCATTAAGCACGTTTTTGATAAACGGGATAAACCTCTCGTAACGTTGTCTCAAGAAGTGACAGTTAGATTAGTGAAATTGATGAGATTCACTTAGCATTTTAAGCATTAAGTGATTGAACGCAAGAAACTCCAAAAATATCTCTCTTCAACGTCCCTATAGACCCAGGAGACTTCTGAAAACTTTTTATACAGTCAGAACTTAACAGAGGCTCATGAGAAGCATGTAATAAAATGAACGATTATGTGTTACGTTTTGATTGAATAACTGCTTATATCATTATTATATTCAGTATGTTTCTTGAAGTTTCCAGAAGACCAAGGTCACATGGCTAATGTAAAAAGACGGTTTATTCAGTAGTTCCTGGTTTTCAATAATTCTCTACATGATATCATTCGTCCTTAAGTATACGTCTTACAATCAGTAATGAAATATGTCGCCGAAAACATAACTCACGGCTTTAATCATGTACTGATATTAGCTAGACCAAAAGATTCATGGAGCACTAGATAATTGTTTCATCACAGTATGGGATATCTTAGCAGTGAGATCTCACCACCCTTTACAGAGGATTTACAATCTCCACGAACCCCCAATCATTAATTCATGATTTAGTTATTTTGATCCTCATTTTGTATATATTTAATCATATAATGGATAGAATTAAAATTGTTCGTTATATCATGTATTTATTGGATCCTGAGTAACCCGACTCATTTAATCAGTACAGTTTTATGTACTTCACTTAGAGCCATACTGTTTATGTAGAGTTAGTGATAGTATCCTGTTCAATAGATGTAGGTGAAATGACCTACATTTTGAGAGTTAGATCTACTAACAATTAGGTAACCAATGACTGATAAGTATATCACAAAGATCCTAATCCTACAACTTTTAAGGTGTTACATAATTTCAGTATTATATTTACTATTAATTTGGTCAATGTTGATAAAGGCAAGAGTTATTTGTTAAGAATAATAAGTATGATTGGTAATTTAAATTTTCTTATTATGTAGATTAATTTATAGTCTTTATTTCATGAAGAATTTTCATTTCAGCGCTTCATATCCTTCTACACTGATTACCATACACTCCATCTTTATCTTATAAAATATTTATTTTCCTCCACTTTAACATACAGAGGCAGACATTCGAAAGAGAATGGAGTAGTGGACTTTGTGCTTGTTTTGATGACCTACCAACATGTAAGTGTAATAATTCTGCATAAAACCAATGATATTTTATCTCAATAAATTAGTCATTATTCTAACATTATGACTTAGAAGCAAGACAATATACGTGTCGACAACTGGATTAGAGAATGTAAACAGTTTGATTTCAATGTAATGACTTATGATACTAACGATTCTCATAAGAACTGATTGTTACTGGTTCGATCTCACATTATGCCGTGTTCAACAAATGTTAAGAAGATAAGAAAGGAAAACTGAACAGTGGTTTGTGATCTTCTAAATAATCTCTGGCTAGTCTGTAATAAAATCTGTCTTTACAAAATCATCCTACTTTATTGGTTAAATCTACTTACATTACATACATTTTACAAGTCTTGTAATCTTATTTTACGAAGTTTTCGTGTACGATTAATATTTCAGTTTAGCTCTAATAAGAGGCTGATTATTTAGAACAGAGAGGAAGCTATGAAATGTTTTCTGTCGAACAGATCCATCTATCTAATATAACTATATATTGTACATGTTGGTAACTATCATCTGTCTTTTTGATCAGCAAAAGTATAAATCTGAACCTTTTATCAATACGATGATCAACATAACTGTATTTCGATAATCAAATACTAGTCATGGAAAAAAATGAAGTTCCTACTGTCGAAGAAGCATCGAACCAACACGTACGAAAATCTAGAACTATCGCTTTCAGATCTATATTAGTCCTCCTGATGATATTATTTTCCGTCTTTAACGGTACACATTAATGGCATACAACTGTGTGTAGGCAGCATTAGATCTCAGGATTCTCGCTGATTGTGATCTACGTAGTTTTCATATTTCTTCCGAGAGAATTGTGGAAATGATGATATTTAATTATCTAATCATGATGCTTACTGGTAGATTACAATGAATGTTTCAGTATATACGATCAAGTAGTCTTGGATAATTGACATTCTGTTTGTACTACAGTGTGATTTTGCCATTTTAATGTGAAGGCGCAACCAGATTGTTGGTTGTTCTTCAATGAACAGTTAAGACTTTTCCTAAATGAAATAATTTCTAAGATATACCTTAATTAAACAAATATTATACATAGAATTAGTGCAGAAAACACTCAATTTATTCCATTTTACGCTAATGTTTTAAAATGTTTGTGTTTTTAGGTTGTCTAGTTCTATTCTGTCCTCATTGTTACATGTGTTATTTATATAATAAAGAAGGGGAATCATGCTGGGTTCCATTCTGTGGTGCAGGCATTTTACCATTACGTATTAAACATCGTGTTATGCACAAAATAATGGTAACTATTATATTTTATTTATCTTTAATTAGGAAATTATTTATCATGTTGTATACAATAAACACTTAAAATAGTCGACAATATTTATGGCTCATATAGATAATTTTCCTAGGGTATCGTTCTCTGAGCTGAATGGTGTAACTGAGAAGCTTTCTTCGTCATTGGGAACATCATATTCAAAAATTAATACATCCAGATTAAAGTGTACATCTTCACTATAATGAGATCTATTGTGAATGTTAGTACCCTATTTGAAGAGCGAAACTAGTGTTTTTTAGTGAGTAAACAGGAATTTACGCCGTAGATATTTTAATCTAACCTACTATGTGTGACCTAAAGGTAAAGCCTGGCTACACGGAATTTAACTTATCACCCAGTCGTTGGAAATACAGTATCTCATCCAACCAGCATATTTTTTATATATCACAAAGTGAACTAACGGTAAATTTCCTTCTTTATTCCTTTACAGATAGCCATATTGTGTTCTATGTCTGTCATTATTGTTTTCGAAAACGAAGTAGTTTAACCTACCACATACATATGCAGCGCGAACTAATATTCATAAAATGATGAAATAAAATACATTCGAATGATAAGAACGACAAAAATATTTCATCTCAAGGAATGAATTAAACTAAACGAACGTAGAAAATCAAGAAAATCCCGACCTAGAGAATAACGAACTATTACAAAAATTACGTCCCATTCATAAAAAGTGAATCATCTTATTAGAATTTCGTAGTATTAGTTATGGTGGGTGCAACATCTAGCGGCTGACCTCTTTTTGAAATCTGACTCACTGATCTGGAGTACACAGATGAAACCATCCTGTCACTTGGTTTTCGTCAAATTGAGCCAATCTGTCTGTCCATTAAAGGGATGGTACACCATAAAATAACACGATCTGTATTACGTTGTGGAAGCAAAACCTTATCTGTGAAAGCAGAATACGTTGAATGGGCTCGATGATTTTGTCGAAGCGAAGCTAGCATGTTGTGAAACAACCGACAGGACTAAGATTAGAATCAATGTATTAGGCAACAAAAAGGAATCAGCTGACGCCAATTAAATAAACTGAGGTGAATCATGTCTGCTGAAACCTATCGTTATTCGAAGTGTAATGCTAACTGTAGTATAAATGCGCTAGGAGAAAACTAGTAGTGATAAAATCAAGAAATTGAGTCAGTTCATAAAATATTTGACAAGTGAACTTTCTGTATGTGTAATCTACCTGGTCTGAGCCATCTCAGTAACCAGGATTTCTGGTTAGAGATTCGACATGAATATGTGACAATTATGTATATGCATTTACTCTTTATCTTACTTCAGATCTTTAACTCCTACACTGCTTCACATATACCTTTTCATTCCCTTTCTAACCATATCATCACTAATACTACTATTTTGATCTCCTATCTGTTCAACCTGTTTCTCTTATCTCGTTTTATTGACATTGTGTGAGGATTCGACTCATAGTACAGTTAAACAAGGCTCTATGACTGACTAGTTGCTATAATGCTTTAGTCTACCAGTGAATTACTTCAATTCTAACTTATGAATTGAAAAAGTTACCCATTGATTCAGTGTTGCTCATTTATTTCGTCCATTTTTATTGTTTTATTAACTCATTTACTTTCTCATTTTCATTACAGATTGTGGATATAATTTTATTTATCACACATATCTCATTTAGATTTGTATGTAGATTGTTTGTTTCAAATATTAAAACAAAAAAATACATTTCTTGAAAAGTTATTATATTCACTTGGTATTGTTTGGCTTGTATCCAAATAGGACGAAACGCGCGTCTTGGATTCCACTGCTAGCCACTATCCATCATTGCTTATAAAACGTTATTATATGGTGTTATAAAACAATACCTCATACAATAATTAGTCTCATCATATGTTTATTTTTGAAGTTTATAGGCTTTTTAAAGTCTTGGTTGTGTGTATTGAATGTATATAATAATTAGCTTTTTCAAAAGTGTTCCACTATATTACAATTCTTAATTGTACAACTTGAGCTACGTAACAGATATTTTCTTATCTTCTTAGTTTATTAAAATGAAATAAAGAAGCAAAATGAAGTTTGAACCTCATAAGCAATAGGTTGATAATGTCAAGTTTTGCTTATTTGAGTTCATATACAATCGTATTTAAGAAATTTAAAGGGTTAATCAACCAAGGTTATTTGAAACGATCTAGGTATAAGTGTGGCGCGTACTACTTATATTGATATAAGTAGTATATGACGCGAGTTAAAAACATAATGTCTAGCAGCAGAAGATGGGAGAAGATCAAGAAAGGAAGAGCAGGGAACACAATGCAATTTGTAAGAAAACGCATGAACAATGAAATGTGAGACAATAGATTGATGATTACAACAGGAACATTCCGATGATATGATGGATTGATATTTTGCAAATTAACGATTTACTATATGGTTTTTCTATTTTACCAAGTAATTCTGTAATTTTGTTCTAATTATAATTCGGTTGTCCCCACCTGTGTTCTGTTTACTACGTAAGTACTTTTTTTTATTAAAAAAAGATACACATATTATACAATAATTATTACTTTTCTATTCATATAACTGGTCACTTGTGTATATTTTATTTACATTTTAGGGTACTCTAATGAATGATGTTTGTATTACATGCCTTTGTGGACAATTAGCTACATGTCAATTAAAACGTGATATAGATTATGCTAAATCTACAAGAATGGAAATTTAAATAATATTACACACACACAAAGAGAGGGAGAGGGAGAAATATGGTCAAGTTTTTCTCGTAAACATCGAAAAAACTAGTCTGCTGTTTATTTTTTAAATGTTCAATTTTACATTTTGAAAGGTTCACTCTGTTTTTTTTTATAGAAAAAATCGTAGAAATTTAACACTTACACAGATAATTAATGATATTAGATTGAATGATTTGAATGCAATTTTCCAATGAAAACAAACAAATAAACTTGTTTGTATTGAATTGCTCATTTATAAAGACAAAACAAAACAAACAAGAGACAGATTTCATCTAGAATGTATGAACAATTACTGGGTTTTTTTGTTGATTCATTTCAAAATATCACAAAATATCACTATTTGAATTAACCAGTTTTTTTAAAATTATTGTTCTGTTTTATCATTGAACACATTCAATTTGTAAAAATACTTGAACGCTGTAATGGTGTTTTTTTAGTGTTTTTGTTTAAATAATTGTTTTAAGTACGTAACTGACTGTTACATTCAACTGTTAAAAGATTATTATAAAAAAAGTCTGTTAAAATTTCAATGATTAAGTAAATTCAGTAAGAAGAAGGAGGTTTTGTAGATATTAATAGTTGAGTTCATAAATCACTCGAAGCTAAACAATCATAGAAAACCTGGAAGCATTAGACTGACGTTTCGTCTTAGTAGGAGACTCCTCAGCAGTGCGCATCTGCGATCCTGCCCCACGAGATTTGAACCCAGGAACTATTGGTAGTAGATCACTGTGTGGTGGACCAAACAGTATATTAACCAAAAAGGAATAGCAATAAACTTATTACGTCCAAAAGTTAATATAACAATAAACAGCTCATAAATTATTAACGCAAAATAAAGGTTCAGGGACGTTACTTAAATCAGCTGGCTGTTGCTTGTTTCGTTGTGCTTGGTACCAAAGATCCACAATTATAGATAATTAATAATTTCAATGAGGTAAATATGACTCCAGCCAGTTTTCTCGACGTCGAATGCAATAGGAATGTCATAACAATCTATAAATATAGTTGATAGTTAATCAATAGTTTAGTTATTATATCCACAGGCATGATAGAACGAGACATGCGTGTATAAGAGTATATTTATTAATGCACAGTTAACAATGTCGTGCTATGTGTAATTCAAAAAGGAAGTTAGTTGTCAAGGTCACATATTTAAATAACAAGTACAATCGTTCAGTGATAAATGTACAGATTGTGGAAATAAACAAATTAAATGCAAAAGCTATCAAAACTATTTACAAAATAGGTTTATTAGGCCTATCTCCACAACTGAAGACAATGGTAGACGGTGGAGCAATTTCGTGGATTGGTTGAAGTTAGACATTAACATGGTTGGTCCAGGGATTAAGCGATCGCGCTCGAGACTGAAGGTCTTGGATTGAATTGCACGTGAAGGATCGTGGATGCGCACTGTTGAGGAGTCCTGTACTAGGACGAAACGGCCGTCCAGTGCTTCCAGGTTTTCCATGGTGATCTAGATTCAATTGGCTCATGAACTCAACTATTAAATTAAATAAGCAGACTTTGTAGTTGATAGTTGATGGTGACAAAATTATGTTAGCGATTAAGTATCTCTACTCATGATAAAGTTAACTTCACAATATTTTGAAGTGGACATTTTCGAATGGGCGCTCGATTGAGTGGATTAACCAAATTTCTGAAAAACAAACCATCAATATCTTACTTATTCAATTTCAGTCTTACCTCCATGTTAAGAGAAATTTTCACATTCATACTAATCAGCTATCCGTTTTTCTCCGATTTACAATGAAGAAAACAGTCTGTGAAGAAAGTTATTTTCAATAAGTGATTTCGTGATCCTGATGCTAAATGCTAATCCACAAATTTTACTTTACATACATCGAAGGGTGATTAAAGAATGAGGGATTTTCTGAGCTTATTGGTTTTAAAGTTTCTCAAAGTTGTAAACCTGAATCCCATGACAGACAGTATATATGACGAAGTCATTTACAATATCAGGTCCTTCTTGGTGCAGATCGAATACTATCGACGAAGTTGTAATGTGGCCACCAATCTAGGTGATTCGACATTGAGCGCATTATGTTCAGATAAGATGGTGGGTGGAGGTACACCTTGCCGAAGAGGGCCAAGTAGTATGAAACCTAGGTCCAGGGTATCCTGTTGACTATTTCTAACCACTATCTTATGAGAAAGTCAGTTTTTATATGACCACTGTTAAACAAGATAGCCATTTTTCTAATTCGTCGATGTTAATTATGTGTATATTTGAGTTTTAAGAGACTGTAGATTGATTAACCACTAGTTTTGGTAAAAATTCTAAAAAATAAAACAGTTCAGTGTAGAATAACGATTCAAATATGAAATGTGAAGTACTAAATGTTAACGGAATGTTCCTATAGACATGAACCTTCCAAAGTGCCTGAAAGTCGTGAGTTTGAACCGTGGTAAAATTGTTGACGTAGACCCGACGTATTTTATATGCTTGCATACTGACTTTAAACCTTTTCTATTTATCTTTACAGCTTTTATATATAAACAGTTTAATATTCGCGTTACGAAACGTATCTTTCTAAATTGATTTGGGAAGTGAAATTGAGTAGGTTAATGTAAAAAATGTACTATGCTGAGTCGAAAATGATTGTTTCTGAACTACTTTGTTTGATTTTAAAATTCGAAATCTAGAATGAGAACTTTCACAAGTAATGGTTTTTTGTTAAGGCTGTATAACATCACAAGATCTTTACTTAAACAAGGTTACTGTAAATGGTTATTTAATTTATTTCCTATATCCTAGAATAGTTCACTTGGTATTGTTTGCCTGTATAGGACTGCAAATGATCAGCCTCTTGTCGGCATATGTGCATCCTGTGCGGTCTGCCTCAAGGTTTGTAAGCAAAGACGGACAGTGTTTAGCAGTGGAATCCATGACGTGTTTCGTCGCATTTGGGACTTATCAGCTGGATGTACCTTCACCCCGTTGCACAAGTAAGTGGCTATCAGGACTCAGTAGCTGAGTCGATAACGCGATGGCGTTTGAAGCGAATGGTACTGGGTTCGAGTCTCGGAGTGAACATCGACTCTGAGATGCAGGCACATCCAGCTGACGAGTCCCAAATAGGACGAAGTGCGCGTCCTGGATTCCAAAGCTAGCCACTATCCATCTTTGCCTATTAGAGAATAGTGTTTGAATGAAGTCATAAATATAATGACCATAGAACTTGTTCACTGTTAGAATAAAAAAAGCAACCCAAGAGTACGAAACTCAAACTTTTGAAATACTAAGAACTTTATGTGTATCAAATACAAAACAATGTCCTAGGAACATAGCTATTAATGTCGCGTTTAGATTTTAACATACTTTAGATTTCCGATATATAACAAATAACTATGTTGTATTCATCCTAATAAATTACTATTATTTTTAAGTAAAATACTTAACGGAATGAACAATGCAAACTTTGCACATAGTCGTAATTAATCCCGGCTTAGTCTTTTTCTCAATGGACCTCAAAGGGAAAGTTGTTCTGATTCACGGACACATCATTCATTTCACTTTGTTCCCGTTATTCTGTACATTTATACTTTCGAACACTGTTAAAGTAGATACAAGGTAGGTGTACTCACTCTTATAAATAACTATGATCTTTTAACAGTGAACACATAGGCGTCTGTGGGTATTTGTGTGACTTACCTTGTCACATTAAAGCTAGATATTTGATTTTTCATTAAAGGCACTTTTATATGCATATACGATGACTCATATACATGTACACTTATTCATTTTTATCCTTTCGGTCTATCTGCTCGTTTGGATGGAAAATAAATATGTTCGCAACAAAGCTTATCCGACAATACATAGTGTTGCGACTTAGTTGTTACCATACTTAATACGGAAAGAAGTTTAATTCAAATAAGTCTTAGAAGTAATACAGATAAGTTATTAATAGGAATTTCCAAGAGAAAACATTATAGTGGTGAGCGCGATTTCGAACAAAACTTAGCATTTAAAGTCCTATGCATTGACGAACGAATGCAACGCAACTGACGTAGTTGACTAGCAATAAAGATGGCTCAACATCTCGAATCCGATGCAGGCAATGGTTTCAATGCAACAAGGAAAAATATATTCACAAATTTTATTGCCTTAAAGATATTTTTCCGTGTATCGACTCTTATCACTCAGTTATTTCGTGGATTTTCTCATTATGATTATTATCCCGCAAAGTTGTGGGATTATTATTGTACTCGTATTAACATTATATTATAGCATTTACGTATTTCTATTACGCACTCATCGATTAACAATATTATCAACACTGTATTTACACGACGATATTCACAAGTAATTCAACTGTTATTTTATTCAATAATGCAAAGTTGTCCCGCTTAAAGTGGGTTCGTCAATTTTTTTCATGTCAGCTCTCCTCGCTATTATATTCCTATCCGCGTAGCTAAGGTCACTTTTATAATGTCATGTCACATACGCGTTTTGTCTTTTCGATCAAGTCTTTCACTACGTTTGTGAACACCTGTAATTTTATTAAGCCTTTTGTTAATACCGATCATCTTTATTATGGTTGGATTGTCGATCGAAGGAATGGCTTTATGAGACTAATTATTCATTATCATCCACTTTCGTGTCTATATTTCTGACATATTTGCTAGCCATTCATGCATCGAACCTGCTAAGTAAACTGGATGTCTAATGACACGTGATTCGTTAGTCCGAGTCGGGCGAACCTCCTGCATGCTGAGAGTAGCATGATCGCAACTACCCCAACACTCTCGGTAGTAGCACCTTATCGCAATATGCAACTGGTGTTCGTTCAAAACATTCACACAAAGCAATCGTCGTTCAAAATTTCTCAACGATAATCTTAACCGAACGTTGATCATAAATATGGGGCTGCTTAGTTTTACAACTTGAGTTTTGATATTACATTGATTTCCAATAATTAAACTTGATATGCTCTAAAACATTTTCAGATGCACTGACCATTCCTACATTTTATCGGAATCACAGATAATATTCCGTCACTTATTTAAACGATCTCCTCAGTTTTCATACGCATAAGCTTTAGATGATTTATCATGTTTTAATAAACACTCAAATTACTAGTGAAAATACTTTTCGCCCATACGTTCACAACGTAAATACGTGCTCATTATTTTGCTCATAATCACATGTGAGCACTTACATTTGTCTGCAAACATAAGGTATTTATGCATTTTCGCACTAAGCATTCATCTTTCCTTTATCATTGCAATCTACCGGATATAGTGTATCTTTTTGCTACTTACTGTTATACTTCCTTCACATACCAATTCAGTGTTATTTTCAAAATAGCTCTTTTCTCAAACTAATGTATAGCTACCCACACAGAGGTTGTTATGGCATTTTGGCACCATTTTACGACTGTGAGGACTACTCTAGATTTTGAAGACTAATCTAACCTCTTTGTGACCGCGTCAGTTATTTGCTTGTGCCCATGTTTTTATGTGAGAGCATAAATGTACTTGTTTTTTTATCATTTTACTCACTTCGTCACATGATTTTAGCTTAGTTTTCCTTGACTTAAAATACTGAGTAGCTCTTTATTAGATTGAATCGGCATACTTGACTTTTCTGATCGTTTCTATTATCATCAATCTGGGTTAACAATGAATGAAATATATTTATACGAGAACAATTTGATGTACGGATTTAGTTTGTCCTCTCAAATCCAAAGCGAGCACTTAATTGCATAACATGACGATAGAAGACAGGATCGATACACTGCAGAAAGAGATAAATATTTTGATACGGTGGTCGCGGGACAGATCACGTGCCAGAAGCCGATTGCTCTCTATCGAACACCTTATTCCTCCGATTTGTCGATATCATCAAAATACTACAGATAAGCTAGTAAGTGTATACCCCCTTGAAGGTCTAGGAATATACGCCAATGTAATCATCAGGTGAAGCTATTTTTTTCCGTACAAGACCAAACTATGTTCGTTTTTACTAAGTAATTATATTGATGCGTATCTCTGCCTATCACGAAGAAGGCCAGGGTTCAATTCCTTCCAGTAATCAGTTTATAGGCCCTCTATTTGACTTCCTGATTATTGAATGATTTTAACGAAACATATATCCCACATAACCTCCTACATTTTCACTGACTTAAATCACGTTAGTGAATAACGTCAACACTAAATTTCTTTGTGCGCCGTTTCCATATCAAACTGATTATCGTTTACAAGTTGCACGTGCTGCATAGATCAAAACTGGTTCTCTCTCAAATGACTGCCATACAAACAAACCTCCAATATACCTGTTACGTACATTTAAAGTTTGATTCTGAACGTTATCTTGGTCAAGAATACGTTATTATATTGAAGTATATCCCATATTTTGGAATAACCAGTCATCTGTCATAACTATGGACTTACTTTCCGACCTACCAAATGCACAACTATTGGTTATTTGAAAGTATCCTCTGTATAACCTACATATTGTTTAGTAATTTTAATACGTTTTCATTTGGATAAAATCGTTGTTGTTTCAGTACTTGGATTTTGGTCTAACAAACTTATTGAGTGAGCCTACGTTTACCTCGATTATATAAATATTTCTACATTTATATTGCTATATTCCTTATCATTATCATATTAATTTAAAACGTTTATCTATTAATAACATGAGGATTGAAAATACTACCAGAGATCTTCTCAAACTTAAAAAGAAAAACAGAAACAGGTAAAGACCATGTAAAATGCAATTTTCGAGTTCAGGCTTGCAGCGTACAGTGCAAATAATCCAAGAATCTAGTTCGCTAAGATAGGAGCACTTCTCTTCGCTTGAGGAATACGATCCCAGGCTACCTGTTATGCAGGGTCACTACCAGTCGAAGTTTCAGCTACGGTCTGGGACCTCATTGGTCAGGTACCGAAAGAAGCTCCATATGATAGGAAATAAAAGCCGAGGTTATGCAGCACACGTGTCTCAGAAGAAAAGAAGCTACTACTGACTGTTTGTGATTTTGGTGACAGAAAACCTTCCCAACTTCTAAGATATATGAAGCGGATAGCTGGTTTCCGTAGGCCAGACGAGGATGTGAGGATAAATTTAACTGTAGCAACTGTCGTATAATCTACGGCAAGTATTGAGTGTGTTCGGTATATCAGTTAAACTCTACAATTTATCAGAGATGGCAAACAAAATTATGCATATCCAGACGCTGACAGTGTCAACATTCCATATACAGCGGCGGGAACTAGCACTAGTGGTTACCAATTAGCAACACTACAACAACAGCTAATTGACCTCAGAAATAGACTTATTATGTCACAAACATCAATATCTAACTTTTAGATGAGACGTAAATGGTCATCATCCCGAAATAGGTCGTCCATAAAACTGCGTTTTCAGTCACCAAAAATATTCGGAAAAGTATGCTGGTACAATCAAAGGCAAGGATTTGCTGCAAAGACATGGAAAAGACAGTGGAATGTTTCCACAAATCATAAAGACCCTCAATGAGACATTGCCAACCAGGCAGCAGTGGCGAGAGCTGTCACTAACCACCCATCGAGCTACCTAATCCAAGGGATTAGCAAAAAATTCGGTGCCGTTTCAGTAGATATTGGTGCCGAGGTCAATATTATTACACCAGTGTTATCAAAGAGGTGTAATCCGGTCAGTAATATATTACTTCAACCAGCCAACAAAACCACAATCTGCACGTATAGCAGACAACCATTTATATTGAGCCTCGAGTCGCGTCGGAATTTTCGGGGATTTTTGTAGCAGCAACGTAAAGATAATAATAATAATACGGAAAAGAGTAAATATTCCAGTCTTCCACCTCGTGCTAAGACGGCTACTCGAAATGTTAAATCAGTGTTATGAAAAGACAATAATGTTAACATATCTCAGTCTAAACCTTACGACTCATCTCATTATACGTATCGACGCTTAATAACCACCAATGGTAGCAGTTTCGCAACAAGTAGACAATGCAATAACATGGCAACAATTTTTGACATTTTATAACATGTAATACAAAAGTTATTTATCTAAATTTTTAACATGGCTTTTTTAAAATTATAAATAAAAGCTACGCATATTTCTTTAAGTGTGATCTTCAATAAAAAGACTACTGAATAAACTTTTATTGTTGCCGATATCTGTGTTCCAGTGATGGAAATCAACTGTTATTATTCTGTAGACAATATAGAAAATGAACAAGTTAAAAGTCTCTAACAAGAGTAGAGATGTCTGAGAACCGTGTATCCAAATTAGCGGCTTCGGTGAAAACTGAACCAAAACACAAAAATATTAAGTTACGTTTTCAACAGTCAGTAAATTATTATTAATCGTAAGCTAATGTGATTTTATGCGAAAAATGTTTGTAAAAGCATACGACTGATAGAAATGGAGAAATGTAAATGGAATTACTGAAGTGGTCGATGAACTACACTACTAAGCAATTATCAAATGATTTCAAAATTCAATGGCTATTGAGGACCAGTAAATCATGATAACTGTTGTCAAAGCCAAGTTTTTGTACATAAAAACAGTTAATATGATCATTTTTATTGTCATGGATTCGGTTTCTTTTCACGTTTTATGGTTCGTTTTCACACAATAATTTTTTACATTGAAAAGATCGAGGAATAGTAGGATGATCAGTAACTCGATTTATTTAATAAGTGCTGAATTATGAGAAAGTGTAACTGAGTAGTTGGAAAAGTGTTATTAATCATATTCCTTATCCGGTATATTTTGAGGCTTTTTATTGCACATAAACAGATAATGAAATAAGTCAAGATATAGCCCTGTTATTAATCAATCAGCCTGTACTTTGGAAGGGATTACATTTGCATTGGATTGAAATTCAACAGTTCTACAAAATACCTTGAATGAGGTGCAATACAGTGGCTTTTAACGCCATGAGACAGCCTAGAATATAAGACAGTGATGGTCACACTGTAATTTATATATTTCTAATAAATTCTATACTTCATCTTTCAAATGAACGATGATGATAATTATGTTCTTGTTTATAATGTATCTTTCAGATTTTTAAAAGATGATCTTTTAATTGAAGACTCATAAACCTGGAAGATACAAAGCTGCACTGATATGAAATGTATGAGATTCTTTGTATCTAAATACCACTGCTTTGTTTGGCTTTGTGAAGGCAACAAATTGCATGTAATAACCCACAATTTAACTGCTACTCAACATTCGTCGTTCTGGTACAACGTACAAAATAAAACTCAATGCAAAATGGTAGGATGTAATAGTGTACTACTGGATTATATTAAAAATGCAATTTATCTTCTGAATACAGGTCTAAGCACTAAGCTTTGAGTTACATTATTTGCATGAGGGAACCAGGGATACATACTACTCGCCTGCTGAAATTGAAGTAAGTGGATTGGGGTTTGAATCCGCAACCGACTGTTGGGAAACCCAGTCCTGTAGCCACTAAACCACAGCTCTACATATTATTGGATACAACATGAGGAGAAACCCATAATTTTTGAAACCTTATATAAAAAATGAAAGAGTTCTTAAAGGAGTTTACGCCAATACATAATTAAAAGTTTTTGTATGAATATTTATCACTAAACGATATGAATGATGTCATATTCACCAACAAAAGCGGTATTTTTCCCTACAAACTTACCATCGCGAAGATTAGAAAGATGATATCCAGCTGAAGAATCCAATGATTCAACCTCAAACAAAGATAAAAGTTTATCGATTCTCTTCAAAAGTTCATCTGAAAAACAATTAAAACCATTAAAACTATTGGTATGAAAAAATGAAGCAATTAATATCTAATGATTCATTGTATAACCAAATAAGAATGTTCCATGAAGAAACAAAAACAATTTCATGTTGTACTGTTGTAGTTATTGTGTTCAATTCTTCCCTACAACTTTTGATCAAACAAAAATTTCTTAGATTTTATAATTAAAGCAGATGATTACTAGATATCGAAATTTCATAGTTCTAACTTATTAATTTGATTAAATTGTCAACTGATGTAATCTTACTAGTCTGAGAACTCTTAGGAAATACAAGAATATTCTACCATTTATTCATTCTACTAACAAGATCAGTGAAGAGGTAATAAAATAAAATATATTACTTCAAATTAATATTTTTACTACACTGGACGCTTTCTATGATTATATACTTCATTTATGAATGATGGCGCAACTTCGTGGGTTGGTTGAAGTTAGACATTAACACCGGTTGATGCCGGCTCATTGGTCTAGTTGGTTAAGCACCTGGCGCGAGACTGATAGGTCCTGAGTTCGAATCTCTCGGAGTGCGGGATTGTGGACGCGCACTGCTGAGGAGTCCCATACTAGGACGAAACGGCTGTCCAGTGCTTCCAGGTTTTTCATGGTGGTCTAGCTTCAGTTGACTCATGATTTCAGTCAGTGAGATTTATGAAACAGTTAACTATATTTAGAAAAAAACATCCTACCAGTATAGATTTAAACAAGAATATTTTAACAAATACTGGAGTTTTAATTGAAACTTGATCGGTTTTTTTAGGTATCGTTGCTAAGGTTTGACTTGATAATTTCGAATAAATTGAGCATTGGGTAGATTGTTATAAATAAAAAATATATTTGTAATATCCGCATGAGTAGAAAAACTAGATATTTTGACGTTTCGTGACTCAGTGTAAGCCACTTCTTCAGAGGATAAATAACCAAATCAAAATTAGTCCAAGTTTAAATAGTACAACGGAACAACAAGAATATTATGTGATCAATCAAAAAACAGGTCTGAACAAATCAATCTCACATCATTTCGATCAAGGTGATTCATAAGCGACATGTATGTAAATTTGTGTGTGTGTATGTGTGCAATGTTAAGGATAAAAAATGTGTGACCTTCATGGGGAGAAAGGATAGAGTTTAATTTATATGATAATAGTGTTAATTCTGAATAATATCAAACTAGGTGGCTAGGATAGATAGTCCAAGTAGGATGTATAATAAGGTCTTCTTTTCTGTTGAAAGCAGTATGATGAAGTATTATATGGAACGTTTCAGCTACTCTCCTTTCTTTGTAATTGGAAAAACCTTTTTGTAATATTTTGATATTTTTGAAATTGATTTAATGGTCGTTGAAAATGGCATGAACTGCTATTGCCGATTTAATTCTGTGCAGACGTGGCTTACACTGAGTCACGAAGCGTCAGAAAATCTATTTTTTTCTACTCATTGGGATATCACAAATATATTATTTATTTATTGAACGGTTTTTATTGGTTATATGTGTATCCTATGAGGATTGTTTCGATATAGCTATTTTGTTACAGTTTGTATAGTAATAGATGAATTTTTTAATTAGCAGTGAAATAAAGTACGTGTGTTTTGTCCTATTCTGAACCCTTGTGAACAAATAAACACTAGTATGCAGGTACATCGAGTCCAGAAGTCCCCAAAAGAATAAAACGCGCAGCCAGAATTTCAATTCTGTTCATAATTTATTTATTTTATATGATAAATATTCTGATTAAATGCATGAATCGGTTTCTTAAGATGTAAAATAAGATGAAACATTAATCTCTTGAAAAATTCTCAGTTAAAATTTTCTGTCTATAAAATAAAATCTCTTAAATATTTATATCTCAATGGTTAAGATCATGAGTCAGTTGAAACTAGACCACGATGGAAAACCTGGAAGCACTGGACGGCCGTTTCGTCCTATTGTGGGACTCCTCAGTAGTGCGTATCCATTACCTCGCCTCCTGCGAGCCTCGAATCCAGGACCTACTGGTTTTGCGCGCGAGCATTTAACTACTAAACTACTGATATCCTTTACAATTACTTCATATTGAATTTTGATTGAGTATTAACTTAAATTCAGCACTGTTGAATTGGTTATAATAGATAACTACTATTTAGAATAAACACACACACAGAAACAACTAGTAAAAATTGATTCATCTTGTTTATGGGAAAAATCTTGTTTTTCATTGAATTGTCAATAGGTATAACAACGTATGGATTGGATTAATGATGTTTATTAGTTAAAAAACAAACTCTTTATAATTAAGATAATGGGAATAGATTTGAAAGATATATTTTATTTTACTAACCAGGAATATCCGATAGACATTTTTTCATTTGATCACATAAATTAGAACTGAATAATTTGGACCATTTGTAATAAACTATCCATATTTTAATAACTGTACAAATATATTCTATGCAAAGAGATGGTTGATTTACTGAAAATTAAATTATATATATATATATATATATATATATATATATATATATATATATATATATATATATATATCTTTATCAGACTTCGTAACAGATAAATAGTAATATTTGTAAACATAAATGAGAATATTGAAGTAACCAAGGCATTTTTTTAAAAATCAATGATATAGATTACGCAACGAATTACAAAGAAGGAAAAAGTGAAAATTGTGATAGTATGATAACGTTCAATGTGTGTTTAATTATCTTGATCTGAAATTTGAATATTACAAAACATTTACTAGTTACTTAAAATTAAATAATACTCCAGAATCTATTTTCACTGGAAATAATTAACCACTGAATAATTTATGTTTTGTTTTAGTATAGGAGTACTTAACAATCATTAGTCTTCAGATATTACAGTGAGCTTGATGATCTCAACTTACTTTGATTAATTTCCTTTCATCAATTTTACGTCGTGACAAAAACTATTTACAACTTACAGGAATCTTTACAAATCACTCAAACACTGAACGAATTTCATAGATATGCTGCTATAGATTAAACATAGTCAGTTGGTCAGTCATAAGCAACGTAAAACCTGATGCATATGTGTATCGGTTCGAGTTGTCACACCACACCAGCGCATCGACGTGAAATTTTCAAGGCGAGTCCCAGAGTAGTACTAGTAGCAACAGTATTAGTAGTAGTAGGAGGGGGAGGAGATATTATGCATAGAAGATAAGAATAGAAAGAATGAATGAATTGGCGACATATCAAGTAGAAGTACTTCGGGATAAAACGTTAATGTATCTGAGCCACTACAACTGGTCATTAGCTATCCCCCCTAGAACCCCTCACAAATAGTTACGATAACTGAGAGGTCTCCAACTAGATAACCTCCATCTACCTACCTAAACGGCTTAGTGAAACATCCAATAACTTCGTGAACCGATGTCATGTCTTGATTTGGCTGCTCCGAGCATTTGTTTTCAATCTACTCCATCCTACTTCCACTTAGATTGATCACGGAACTATTTGACGCCTATTCATAAAATACTGAACATGTGACATTATTTCAATTATTCTTAGTGACGTTATATTTAGATGGTGATCAGTAGTATCAGTTATATAAATGACACCGTAATCCACAAGAAAAGGTAGTTTTAAGGATAAGCATGAATAAAATACTTTATTGAGACAAAATCTCAAAATCTAACTTTATTTAGAACAGAACAAGATGCAAACGATTTTTGATACACAAGTACGGTTAAGAGATTGATACATTGATATGACAACTGGAAACCCTGAGTAAAACAGTGTTAGTTCAAGACTGTTTCAAGCCACAACACCAAACACAAGAAGGAAACCAACAGAAGTACAAAAGTCCCAAAGAAAAAACCAATGTGAATTAAGTGAAACTACAAAAATGAATAAAAAAAATTTTGAATTTAGAGAAACAGCAACAAAGTAAGTTGTTTTTTACTTGGTTTTAACTATGACAGACAGTTCAAAAGATCATTGGTTGTTAATATTATTATCATGAGGACATCAAACAGAAAGACGTACTTCGTAATACCTAGAATAATGGATATGTTTAATGAATGAATTGGATTTAATTTTCTAATCAACTTATATTTATTTCGAACTAATGAGATATATCCATTACTCTTAAAAACTACTTAAAACATATTTAAGTAACTTGAATATATACAATTATAAGGTTCTTATCTACGATTAAACCAGAATTTTAGAATATGACCCTTAAAAACTCTTATTGCATCATTTCTAGGTGAAATTTGTCACTCATTCAGCATACCATTAAGAACCAGGGTGTAGTGGAGAGCCATTTCAATTTAGCAAGGAACTGCTGAGCATTAAGTGCTCACAACCCCTTCAGACATTAGATCGAGGAACTTACGTTCTTCCGATAAACGCTGTACTGTTAGAATCATTGAATTGGCTTTCAAAGGTACACGTTTCCAATTTCAGTCAACTTGTAATATAACGAGACAATAATTTTGCGCTACTAATGACGGCTATTTCACTTCAAACGTACCTAAACTCCATTGGTCACAACTTTCCACTAGCACCGCAGGAACTCACATGGAAGAAAGTCATTATTGAACTGACTATGATAGTTTAGGTGAAGCAGTTTCGTGGAGATTATTCGGTCATGAAAATAATCTTTAGGATATTCCATTGAAACAAATAAAAGTATTTAAATAAGCGTTATACAAAAAAGATATCACTAACCAATTAGAGAATCTATGAAAGAGATCCAATTACAAACAAAAAATTTCAATAATTCGCCAGGACTCAAAAGCCACATAAATAAATTGGTTTCCTGTATACTGTCCTTCGTGTCGAATAACAGCGTATTCAACAGACATTTGTTTATAAGTTCCAAGATGTTAGTAACAAGGGTAACGAATGAACACATATTAGATTTCTGGGCAGTTATAATATTCGCGCAACAACTCTCTTTCAACCATTTGCAAACCATATTTCCACGAAATGGTCTACCAGTCGAATTATATCCAAATAAGTTAGCAAACAAGTCAGTATTTGAGGGAATTCTATACAGCTGAACTAAAATAGTTGAAATGTTTGCAACGGATTGAACGATTTTCGAATTATCTGTAGATGAAATTTGATGCGAGGCAGTTGACAAACGATGATTTTCAAAGAAATTTGTCCTAATTGAAAAAGTACAATTGCGACTTGAAACAAACAGTATTTAAAAATGTATTGATGATGACTATCACTATAGGGTTAAATAATCTGGATTTTCGCAACAAACAAATGTATTAATAGCTCATCGCCAGTAGTGGTGGAGATTGATATAATTAGGATAACCGAGTGGTTTATATCGAATATAAGAAAACGTAGTGCAAGAAAATAAATCAGACAAAACTACAAAACGAATGAAAATGAAAAGCTTAATCAAATAAAGATTTTAACATTTAAGAATCTACTGTCCTTTATTCTACGAAGCTAAAAATTAAATCGATAGTCCAGCAAGATATGATGAACAGTGGCTGCATAAATGATATCGTCCTGTAAAGAAAAACATTCAAATTTAGCCAATCTAATGCAATTTTTGAAAGAATACTCAGTGAGTTTTTGCAAGCTCAATAATATCCCACTACAATAATAATGATAATAATCGAGAGCTCACTAGAGGTTAGTTTAAAGATGCAACTACTGTAGGACTAGTGGGAAGCCTTGGACACGAGTTCAATCGTGCCGAGTCTGAGACAGTTATCCACAGCAGGCAATGGAAGATGGTCGTTCAATGTCGTGAATTAAATAAAGTTAGACATATATACCGTTGGATGCCGGCTCAGTGGTTTAGGGGTTAAGTGCCCACACATGAAACCAAATATCCCCAGTAGATTCCCACATGTGGAATCATGGACGCGTAGTCCTGAGGAGTCCCACATTTAGACAATGCTTCCTGGTTTTCAGTCGTTATCTAGCTAAGATTACTTCGTAATTTAAACAATGAAGAAAACTTATTTAATGAAAATGAGGTCTTGAATCTTATCGAAATCAATTTTGAATCTGTACATGACAGAAAAACATTTTATAAACTTACATCAGTGTATCCAAAATCGGTAAAACTGGAGTTAAATAGTTATTGAATAGTTCTTCAAAAACAGACATGATTTCAAAGTCCTTTTCTAGTTCCATACAATGTGTCTTAAAGTATAATTCAATCCAACTGAAATATGTTTCAAGTAAAACTGTACCAAGCGGTTTAATTTCATTAACCGACCTATCCCATAAAAAGTGTGTATCAGTACATATTTCACAACTGGGATCCTAAATATTCAGGAAAAAAATTCTTACATTAATAGAGAAAATATGACATTTTCAACATTAATGTTTATTAATCTAACAAAAACCTTAGTCTAATTTTTAGAAAAATATGTACAACTGGGTACAGTACATTGTAAGTGAGCCAATAAAAAAACTTTTAACATGTTTAGTAGTTAAAGTAAAGAGGGTGCTAAATTTGATTTTCAAAATAAAAGTACAAATGAAATTTGAAAAAAAATAAGGAAAAAATGTTACTTTATATTAACGATACGATAGAAGAGAAAAGGATTTGTACTTATTAAACATTTGGTACTACATAAAGCTGCTTGAAAGAACCCTCTTAGAACCCGAAACAAGAAGTGAGAAGTTGAACATGTAGGTTGATATAAAAATGTACACATGAGACATAATAATCACATAATAAAAACCACATATTAGTACTGAGCGAAATGTTTACCAAACAAAAGCCACAGAATAAATACGCAGATGAATAACAAGATATGACCTTCATAGATTTAGACAAAATATCAGTTTATATATAATTTGTTGGGATATGAAAACTTGCTAATATTGCCAGCTTTATTATACGGCCAAAGACAATGAATATTGTGAATTAAGTGAAGTTAGATATGTAAACAATTGGATTCCAGCTTAGTGGTTTAGAGGTGTTAAGCGTTCGCCCACGAAATCGTAGGTCTTGAGTTCGACCTGCAAAGGGCCATGGATACGCAATTCTAAGAAGCCTCATACAAGGACGAAACAGTCATCTAGTGCTTCCTGATTCTTAATGGATAGTCTAATTTACGTCGGTTTTTGACATCAATAATACTTGATAATGTCGACAATCCGCCAAACTCATAATGGGCGATTTTTTGAAAACAACGTTGGACTATACAACAAAATAAGTTTTCTTTTATTAACACACAATCGCTAAAAAATATATACTATTATTTATCAGACAGATTTTTTGTAACACTTTCATAGATGATTCAGAAGTATTCACAAGAGCTAATTTTCGTTATAGAATTATTCCATTAACCATAGTTTTCAAATCAATGACTTAAACACTTTATCACTGCGAATCGTCATAACGTGTGCAATAACAATACAACTGTTATTTCTATGCAATTAGTTTCCTTCACAAATATAAAGAAAATAAGGAATAAACGGTAGAATAATCTGGATTTATAGTATTTTGTTGCGTTTTCCTTAGCTACATGGAAGCCAATATATTTAGTTATTTTTAATTACTAACGAAAATTTTCAATTTAAAGAAATGTTTTGTCTATAAAGAGCAATTTGTTCAGAATGTGAGTTGATGGAAATTTGTAATTAAAATTGTTCCTATTTTATATTTAAACTGTTACATTCAATCTGTTGCATTAATAATATCTTATCTTACTTGATTTTTTATAGAAGGATTAAATGAACTCAGTAAATTTCGTAACAATTCACCAGTATCTAAACATTGTAACCAAATATTTTTCACTGTATCGTCAGTAGCATATGAAATTAAGGAGCGATAAGAAGAATTGTCACTACATTTATTAGCAGTATCTAACTTTTAGAATAGACAAAATAGAAACAAAAGTTATACAGAAGTGAAAAATTATCTATCAATGTATGTACATGAAAAAAAAGTTTTATAATTGACAGTGACAATTCACAATAAGTGTTATGAACGGTTTAAATCGAAAACTATTAAGAAAAGGGTTAAAAAAGCGACTATTTTCTAGATAGACTCTGGCTTCCTGAATTGTATTATTACTTCTGAATTTAGCCAAACTTTTATGGTGTGAGATAATCATTCAATTGGCCACATAAATGAAGTTAGGACATGAGATATATGTGTCGTGTTATTGAATTATATTGTCCAACGCCCGCAACCATAAATTACAACTATAAAGAGAGCTGAAGCTTGGATGTTTATATCACCTTAAACGCCTCAATCTGAAAATTAACGACTTCACAAACTGATGCTATGTATATTTTGAATGCCATGAGTTTTCTCTAATCTACTTCAAAGCCTATCAACATTGTGTTTAGGTTGTTTGTGGCTAGACATACGTAAAACATGCTTGAATAACTACAATCGACGAAAATCTATAACCATTCCATCCGATTTATCATTTGTACTTAGTAACCTAAGCGTAACCCTCGACATTGTTCACTTGGTGAGTGTCAACATGTACGAGAACCGCTTCGAATAATTCAAATACTTATAATCAAAACAGGACTTTACTTTTTGTAGGACACGTTTCACACCCATGAAGCATTATGAGGTAGAATGCTGCACTGTATACTGGACAGGCGAAAGTAACGTAATTAGACGTAATCAGTCACAGCTAAGAGTGTCTTAAAACGTCTAAGACTTCATCTGCGAAGGTTTTTAGTTCCGCGCTGTTGATATTAAGGACTTTAAATGGTTAGTTTCTAGTGGTATATATGGATACTGAGAGGAGTGCCTCAGTATTTGCCAGTTAGTCACACGTTTTCAAATCTAAAATTCCAAGTATCTTTTTTGTATACTGAAATTACGCCTTGGGTCTAGAATCAATGCTCTTTACAATAACCACTACTATTCTTTTATTGGTTACCTTATACTTTTATGTTCCATGTTTTTAAAGGTCTATTACATATTACATATACTTATAAGTTCTCCAATAACGAAAAGTTTCCTTATTCTTACAGCACACCTGGAACTAACGTGCGTTTTTGGTTTATTCAATGCTGAACAAATCATCACTTAATTGCTAAGGTTTTGGAAAATAACATTTTCTAGAACAACTGACTTCATCATTTCCCATTACTGTGTGAATAATATATGCCACATAGTGTCTCAAAAATATGAGTTTATTTCGCCAATTAAACGTAAGGGAATAACACAGACTAAATTTTACTGGTTCTTATTTTAAATTTAGACGACTGATAATTTCCCTAATTTACACGAATATCAAATGCTGAAACTTGTACACCGGTAATTAGACAGAAACACCTCGAATGAAAGTTATGCAACTGGAAAAACTCACATTATTATCATCAGTGTCACTCTTCTGTAATTCTTGTAGGCAATATTGAAATAAAAGTAAACATGCTTCTAATATATTGCAATTAATTACTGAAGAATCCTTGTGAGAAAGAACGAAAGAAAAAATATAAGAATACAAAACAATACAACTCATTGATCAGGAATTGATTAACAGTCAGTTTTCAGCTGCATATAAGAACTAGAGGCTATTGATACTTCACGGTCATCTAAACTGCAGTAGGCAGAGTAAGGATTGAACCAAATTCTACAAATAAAGGAAATGTCTAGATACATGTAATCTAACACACTTAACCTAAAAAATGTACAAACACAACATACTCAATGATCATTTAAAATAGATCACGTAACTAGCGTACCCACTAAATACATTAGTAGCATAGTATATGACACTTCGGAGTTCGAAGTGGTAGGTCATGGGTCCGAGTCTCACGGTGAGCATCAACAAGGGTGCAAACATATAACTGACTACCTGTAAATAGGAATAAATGCGTCCTACAGTCCACAACTAGCTCAAGTTTGAAGACATAACGAAACCTTCGACTAGATGCAATATCAATGGGGTCCTCTCAGAATGAATATATGACAACAGAGAGTGATCTAAATTTAGTCCAGAGTATTGCATTTTTGTTTTCACCAACACTACCCTGCTGACCCAACTGAATTAAATGGAATTTAAACCCATAACCAAGTGGATACAGATCAAGTGCTTTAAACATAGAATGACTGCGAAAACCATGTCAAATCAATGAATTTTTCTTAATTTCGGTGTTCATAATTATTTACAAAAGGTTAATGAAGCAGGAAGCTAACCCTAAATATCATGTTCTAAACCACAACTGTGATACACTGCTTTAAGTGCTTTTCACCACCCATCAACAGGTCCCCATATTTTACCAGATATGTGAAACAGCATAATGTATTTCACAAAATAAATATGCTGAAAAGGCAAATTACCGAAAATGGATTTGTTTACTGAATTCGATTACACTATCATTAATGCAATATCACCAAATGAAAAACCCAGCAATAAAATGATATTATCTCAAAGAGATTTAAACAATATATTTGATCTAGGACATTTTAATATTTTATTTAACTGATTGAATTGAATGTAGCTAACTAATTACGTAAACGTTCGTGTACTTAGCCTTGAGTCACATTTGTGTGACAGCCTAGTGATATTACCCGTCTGCCCAAATCAAAATATATGGAGTCGAATTTGAATTGACTAAGTCTTCATAACTTTTTATTGATCTATTTTCTTATCAATTAATAAGTATGCAGTCAAAGCAATGTAGATATTATTCTCATGCTTATGGCTTTCATAAGAAACTGATAAATGGATATGAGACATATGATCGGCTCAAAATCTATTTACAAACCAAAATTTGAGTACAAATAAAGTAATCAGAATAAAGGAAAAAACATACTGAGCAAATCAATATATCTGTACAATTTTCTGACGATGTTCTGAAAGTTTTCTCTTCCTCACTGCCAGAATTCAAAACGCACTGAACATTATTGTTAACAATCTTACTGTTATTGTTTCCTGAGGATTTCTGAGTCAGATATAATCGTAGTTCAATAGTAAGGGTTGTAACAACAAGAGTAAATGGTTCACCATGATTAGTTTGATTGCAAAAATTTTCCAACCATTTTAATGATTGAAAAACGTTTGACAAAGCGACCAAAAATTGGAGAACTATACAGAATTGTTTATTGATGCTGTAAAATCCTATAATACACAGTATAATATAAAAATAAAGTTATTTAACTGAATGCTACTTGGAAGTAATATAAATTTCAAAGTCACTTCATATGCAACGTAGAACCTGACACATGTTCATTGGTCGTCATATCACATAGTACAGCGAGATAAAATAACTTCAAGACAAATTCCACAAAAGAAGAGGTAGTAACAATATCAGTAGAAGTAGAAAAAGATCATATATAGAGAAAGGAAGATAAAAGCAAGATTTTGAGACTCAGGTTCTAGAGAAAGACAAGGAGTGGATGCACTTCCGCCATTGTGAACGATTCTGAGCTACTCTACCCAAAGTCTTTAACCATTGGTTGTGATAGTTGTGCAGGCCTCAACCAGATAGTCTAAGCCCATTAACATGGCTTAGTTCCACTTTTAGTGACTTCATAAACTACTGACATATCTTGGTTAGGCACACCCCCTAGTTTCCTCCCAATTACACTATACATACTGACGATATACATATCCGATGGCAAAGATATTTTGAGAATCCTAATTAATTATTACAATAGTAATAAATTTAATTATAACTTGAATCAGCAGTAAAAACTAGCACCAGAAGTATGAATTAAAAATGGGTAGAAAATCTTTGTGAATAATTTGTTGCATCTTAGTTTAAGGTTAACTAACAGTTAAAAGTTCATCAATCTTCAATGTATGGATTCGTTTCTCCACATCCGGTTTATTGTATACATGAAAAGTGAGAATCGGAACATAAGTAGTATACTTTTTAAGCCGGCAAAATGACATTCAATACTAAGTTAGAGATATGATTCTCGGAATGCTATAAATTAACAAAATTATAAATCTTTAATTAATCTCGTCAAACATATTGGGGAAATAAAAACCATAAAAATAGGTTAAAACTTTGGGAACTTCATATATATTCAAACTACTGTTTCTTCAAAGGTATATCAGAAAAAACCTCGTTAGTTATCTAGCTACTACCTATATAACTACAATAGGTAATCTTATTATAGAACCGTATATATAATAGTTGTAAGACTATATGTGAATTTTCAGTAAGTTCATATGACGTCTACATAAAATTAGATGTAGTCGTATCGGTTGAACACAAAAACGTACACGTACTTGGTGAATACATGATTGCACATAAAGAGGTATTGCAAGAAGATAAATAGTTCTCTATTGATCGCATACAACAAATGCTAGAAAATATTCATCGTTCAGTTAATTTTAGTGACTGATATCGAGTAATGATCATTAGTTATAATTATAAGTCGATGCTGTTTGGTAAGAACTCCGCCTGGAGTCCCTCCGGGGGCTACTACCGGTCCCAAGCCCGGATAAAGGAGGAGGGTTGGGCATGGGGTTAGCGCCTTCATCCCGTAGAAAACTAACTCGCTAAAAAAACGCTAACCAGAAAAAATTATTCAAACCTTTTAAACTCTGCCCTGGGAGTCAGAAGGTCTTCTTTTAGAAGAACTATGACGCCTCATGATGAAAGCCGAATTCCTTCGGAAGTTACGAGCCCGATGCCCCTTCTGACAACCAGAGCGACCATTTATTTAGGTACATGGCATGTTCGTAAAATGTGGGACACCAGGAGAGCCTTCCAAATTGCTGCAGAAATGAGGAGATATAACCCAGAGGTACTTGGGATCAGTGAAACACATTGGACGCAAGTTAGACAACAACGACTAACTTCAGGAAAGCTCCTGTTATACTCAGGCCATGAAGAAGAAAATGCACCACATACACAAGGAGTTGCATTGATGCTGTCCAAACAAGCACAAAATGCACTTATAGGATGGGAATCTCATGGACCAAGGATCATCAAAGCCTCCTTCAAAACAAAGAAAGAAGGCATTTCAATGAACATTATCCACTGCTATGCACCTATCAACGATTACAATGAAGACGCTAAAGATCAATTCTACAATAGGCTGCAGTCAATCATCGAGAAGTGCCCAACAAAGGACCTGACCATTCTGATATGAGACTTCAATGCCAAGGTTGGAACGGACAACACTGGATATGAAGACATCATGGGACGACAAGGACTGGGAGAAAGAAACGAAAATGGTGAGAGATTTGCAAATCTATGTGCCTTCAATAAACTGGTCATAGGCGGCACCATATTCCCACATAAACGCATACACAAAACCATATGGACTTCACCGGATTACACCACGCAAAACCAAATCGACCATATTTGCATCAACAAAACGTTCAGGAGGACTATAGAGGACGTGAGAACCAAGAGAGGAGCTGACATAGCATCAGATCATCACTTGCTGGTCGCCAAAATGAAACTGAAACTCAAAAAGCACTGGACAACGGGGCGGACAATATCACAAAAGTTCAACACGGCCTTTCTTCAGGATACTAACAAACTCAACAAATTCAAGATAGTCCTCAGCAACAAGTTCCAGGCCTTTCATGATCTACTCAATGGAAAAGGAACTACTGTGGAGAGCAACTGGAAGGGGATCAAAGAGGCAATCACTTCAACATGTCATGAGGTCCTGGGTCACAAGAAGCACCATCACAAGGAATGGATCACTGTTGATACACTGGATAAGATTCAAGAAAGGAGGAACAAGAAGGCAGCAATCAATACCAGTCGAACAAGAGCAGAAAAAGCCAAGGCACAAGCTGAATACACAGAAGTAAACAAACAAGTGAAGAGGAGTATCAGAACCGACAAACGTAAATATGTGGAAGATTTAGCAACGACGGCGGAAAAGGCTGCAAGAGAAGGAAACATGAGACAATTGTATGACACGACAAAGAAACTCTCTGGGAATCGCCGCAAACCTGAACGACCAGTGAAAAGCAAGGAAGGCGAGGTAATCACCAACATTGAAGAGCAACAAAACAGGTGGGTAGAACACTTCAAAGAACTCTTGAATCGACCAGCTCCACTGAACCCACCCAACATCGAAGCAGCACCCACGGACCTCCCAATCGATGTTGGCCCACTAACAATTGAAGAAATCAGCATGGCCATCAGGCAAATCAAGAGTGGCAAAGCAGCAGGACCGGACAACATCCCAGCAGAGGCACTAAAAGCAGACGTAGCGGCAACTGCAAGGATACTCCACATTCTCTTCAATAAGATTTGGGATGAGGAACAAGTACCAACAGACTGGAAAGAAGGACTTCCGATCAAAATACCAAAGAAAGGCGATCTCAGCAAGTGTGATAACTACAGGGGCATCACTCTTCTCTCAATACCGGGAAAAGTCTTCAACAGGGTATTATCAAACAGGATAAAGGACTGCGTAGACGCCCAAATTCGTGACCAACAGGCAGGATTCCGTAAGGATAGATCGTGTACAGACCAAATCGCAACTCTACGGATCATTGTGGAACAATCAATTGAATGGAATTCATCACTCTACATCAACTTCATTGACTACGAAAAGGCATTTGATAGCGTGGACAGAATAACACTATGGAAACTTCTTCGACACTACGGCGTGCCTCAGAAGATAGTCAATATAATACAGAATCCCTATGATGGATTAAACTGCAAAATCATGCATGGGAGACAATTGATAGACTCGTTCGAGGTAAAGACCGGTGTTAGGCAAGGTTGCTTACTCTCACCCTTTCTCTTTCTCCTGGTGATCAACTGAATCATGAAGACGTCAACATCTGGAGGGAAACGCGGGATACAGTGGACATCTAGGATGCAGCTGGACGATCTAGACTTCGTAGATGATCTGGCCATTCTATCGCAAACGCAACAACAGATGCAGGAGAAGACGACCAGTGTGGCAGCAGCCTCAGTAGCAATAGGTCTCAATATACACAAAGGGAAAAGCAGGATTCTCCGATACAACACAGAATGCACCAATCCAATCACAATTGACGGAGAATATATGGAAGATGTAAAAACCTTTACATATTTGGGCAGCATCATTGATGAACAGGGTAGATCTGATGCAGATGTGAAGGCCCAGATCGGTAAAGCAAGAGCAGCATATTTACAACTGAAGAACATCTGGAACTCAAAGCAACTGTCAACCAACACCAAGGTCAGGATTTTCAATACAAATGTCAAGACAGTTCTACTGTTTACTGGGGGCAGAAACCTGGAGAACTACGAAAGCCATCATCCAGAAAATACAGGTGTTTATTTAACAATTGTCTACGCAAAATACTTCAGATCCATTGGCCGGACACTATTAGCAACAACGTACTGTAGGAGAGAACAAACCAGATCCCAGCGGAGGAAGAAATCAGGAAGAAGTGCTGGAAGTGGATAGGACACATATTGAGGAAAGCACCCAACTGCGTCACAAGACAAGCCCTCACATGGAATCCTCAAGGCCAAAGGAAAAGAGGAAGACCAAAGAACACATTACGCCGAGAAATGGAGATAGACATGAGAAAAATGAACAAGAATTGGATGGAACTAGAAAAGAAGGCCCAGTACAGAGTGGGTTGGAGAATGCTGGTCGACGGCCTATGCTCCATTAGGAGTAACAGGCGTAACTTCGCTTCGCTGTTTGGTAAGAAGTGATGGAAAATTCACATAATATAATCATGTTTTACTACAATACGCCTAAAGAACTAAAATATTTAGAAGACAAACCAATATCAGACAACGTAAACAAAATATATCTCAATAAAATTTGATTTCTCAAAAAGTGGACTCACGTTCAGTCTTCAAGCAATTCAAACAAAACAGAATTGGATGTTTAAGATGTTCTAATAAACCTATACCATTATCAACTGTAGGCATTAAATTTATTAATTTTATCATTAAAATTAAGTAATTCCAAAGCAAATCATCCTGAAATAAAAAATAAAAAAAATTTATTGTAATATTGCAGATGATTTACAGAGTATAATACCGATTTCATTCCAATTATATTTAAGTACGAGTAAATACAATAGGAAATAAATGAAAAAATGTTTGATAATTATAACGCTTTTCTTTCATGGTTTTACATTAAGAACAGGAGTGAGGTACTTAACATAATTTGTAATAACCACGTAAACACATGTAATGTAGAACGACAGTTATGACAGTGTAGTGAGAAGATGAAGCTCATCTGAAAAATGTGATGTGTTCACACCATTCACTTATCGAGGCACCAACTTATGAAAATTAATGAAGTCCTACTGAATAATAGTTCAAATAACAAGGTAACCCATGTGTGCAGGATAATTTGTCCACTTGACGAGCACGAGAAAGGTGAAGAATAACTTAAAAGCGTGAACGTGATAATAAAGAATAGTTAGAATCAGAAAGATCAAAACATTAGAAAGATGTATTAATAATCAAATCACCACTTACGAAAGTGATAGGGCCACGTAAAAATGATGAGTTGTACGTGTCTCATGCACAGAGTTAAGGTTTGAAAAGATGGATTGCTAACACCTCTGCAGAGCACAAATTATTGAATTGGACTCCTCACTACTTTCAATTCAACCAGTAAAAGTGTCATCTATGTATCTTTTGTATACGCAGAAGCCGTCAACCGTCGGTTGAAGCACTTTATTCTCAAGATTGTGCATGAAAGAATCCACTAGGAGAGGGCCCAGTGGTGAGCTCATAACTACGTCGTTGATATGTCTATAAAACTGATTATCAAATCGAAACTGGACATTGAGGGTACATCGCAAGGGTAATTCCTTTAGACGTTTTTTTGGAACATTAATATCGAGGTGTTTGTTATTTGTGATGAAAATAGTGGCCTTAATGCCATCCTGCATAAGTTCAAAGATTGACATTATTCAATTAAATTCACATTGGAATCAAAATTCAGTTCAGAATTTTGTATCTACGGCGCTTAAACTAAAACTTGCAAGGACTCCCACAGTTCCTACAGAAACTTTCTTCAAGGGCATTGAGTTCAAGGGAGATGCTGCTGGAGAGATTCTAAAAAACCTCTCAACGAAATCTCTGGGAAAACCTTTGTATGCTTCTAGGCTTTGCATCGTCTTTCCAACTTTCTCATCATTCATGGATGTGCCAAAGATAAACTCCTGGATTGAACAAAAGATACAAGTACAACTCATCATTCTTACGTGGCCCTATCACTTTCGTAAGTGGTGATTTGATTATTAATACATCTTTCTAATGTTTTGATCTTTCTGATTCTAACTATTCTTTATTATCACGTTCACGCTTTTAAGCTATTCTTCACCTTTCTCGTGCTCGTCAAGTGGACAAATTATCCTGCATACATTGGGTTACTTTGTTATTTGAACTATTATTCAGTAGGACTTCATTAATTTTCATAAGTTGGTGCCTCGATAAGTGAATGATGTGAACGCATCACAATTTTCAGATCCACCTTATCTTAACTATACTACCGAAATTCATTCAAGGGGCTGTTTTATAGGACGAAAATTCGCTAACCCTATCGCCATATTTTCAACGTTAAAAATATTTACTCAAGCATAAAAACATATTTCTCACCCCTAATTAAACTAAACTAGTAAATTGAAAAATTAAGGTTGTATGTTTTATGTTAAACCACGGCAGAATAATAATGGTTTTCATTGTAAGAAAGGCAACATGAAACTAATACTATATATACTGTATAGTTTAATTATCTAGAAAAATCTTTGTGCTATTGAACTTCTGGGAGTTACTGATACCTTCCGACTCCCAATCCATAGACAGGCACAGTTTTTTGAAGTGATTTTGGTGAAATAAATTTGAAAATTATCTGTTTAAATGAACGTTTCTGATAAGTAATTTAACAACTTAAGTCTATATCACTAATTGATTACGTAAAGCACTTTCAGGAATATTGACTACTATAGTTTTATTATCTAATAAACGAAAACTACAATTTAATTACTTCAAATAATGCGAAATCCCAGTTATTCTAGTGAAACACCATCCCATCATATTTACCGAATTATAGTGTGAAAAAGAGTTCTTTATACATAGACAATTTGACCGTATTTTTATGGTACAATAGCTCCTTAAAAATGAGTTTCTACCGAGCTGAAGGTCAATTGCTCCTGTGGACAGCAAGCACGACCACTATTACAAGAAATAGAGGTCAGTAAAGCATAAATTGGAAATCTTAATGGGAAATTATTACTTACATAACACAAACTATTTCTCTGAATAGATCAATATTATAATACGCGGTTATCTCGGAAAACTCACTTTACACGATGGATCGAATTTTTCACAACAAACGGCCAAGCTCTTTAACAGAGAATCTTCCAAATCTATATTGTTTTTTACACCATAACGTAGAAGTTCACTCAAAAATAAAAGACAATCTGTTTCAGCTGGAACGAAATGATAAAATATCCTGGGGGAAAAATGAGACGTACGCATATATAATTCACATGTTTTTTTGACTGAAATAGTCAAAACAGATGGAAGGCTACCATTGAAATCGACAAAGGCATTAAACTGTATAATCTGATTTAATACAGGGAATACAAGTGATGATATAGTTCTGTCCGTTGAAGGGCTGGAATAAAATAACGAGGGGTGAGTGAAGGGAAACAGAACTTACGAGAGATATACCAAATTCCACAAGCCAGGAAATAATAACTCAAAACCTTTTAATCCGATCTAATGCGAATTCATAAATTATTCGTTAAAACAGATCTTACGATTGATGGATCGAACGCCATATTCGCGATACATTCAATGAGTGATAAGCGAAGGTTACTCGGAAGACTATCCTTATCTGGAGTAAGGAAAGCATATTAACGTATTATTAACAGACTAAGTATATATATATATATATAGATAGATAGAGAGAGATGCAGAAAAGTGGGAAACACTAAATTTAGATATCGATTAGATGGCTGCATTTACTTTAGAAACTGTACCACTCTGGAAATGAAAGGTGTATTTTGCATTTTAAATAGATATAATCAGCTAAACGGTCTGGCATGATAACCAAGCCATCTTACACAGGTAAATCTACGGAAGTAAAGATACACGAATAGTGTGGACTATATATCTCAAGAGTAAACTAACTAATAATTATGACTAGCATTTTTCTACTTTGCGCGAGACCATCGAAGTTTAAAATATTCCTGAGAAATCACTAGCATTTGAAGTTTACATAACAAAAAAGAAATTTTAAAAAACTTTTAGTAGGTATATTTTAATCTAAATGGTCCTTCTACAACACCGTATATCTAGCTTCTATCTAAAATAAATGAAGAAATGATTGTAATCGTGTCAAGATTCTGTTGGATGGTGGCTTAATGACTGAAGTGCTCCAACTACTTCCGTTTGGTCAACCTGATAAGATCACAACCCTTCACATTCAGAGTGTGGCTTATATTTAGGTACGTGGTGAGTGAGGTAATTTATTTGAATAAAATTAATTAATAGGTAGACCAAATGGAAGAAGACAGAACCAGGTTTGATGAAACACTTACCAAGTGCACCTTTGTTAAATAAAAAATGGAGGATTTACCCACAAACCTAGGTGGTGTTGCTTTTTTCCTAGAAAAGGCCTTACATAGCTATGTAAGACTTGATTAGTTTATCAGCATCTTAGACAGAAATAAGTGTATATTTAACACACACAGACATAATGAGTTCACTAAGATTAATGTCCCATAAATACTTAAGACATGAAAATAGAAAACAGAAAGCCTATCTTAGTAACGAAGCTAGTGAAAGTACACTGTCGTTACCTGGACGATAGATATTCTCTTTAAAATGGATAGAAATGTAGAAAAAATTGATGAGACATGAAGGCTTATCACATTTACGCATAAGATGAAATGTTGAAATCAAATAGTTCTATTCCTATTTAGTGCTGGTGGCGTGAGTGATGAGATCAATGCACGTATAGTGAAAGCCAGAGTGGCTTATGCCAATCTGGGCCATCTTTAACGCCTTCGTAACGTCAATCTGGCTGCAAAATGTCGGATCTATAACGCGTCGGTGAGAGCAGTTCTGCTCTATGCTTGTGAAACCTGGCCTCTCCGAGTTGAGGACGTTAGACGACTCTCTGTGTTCGATCATCGTTGTCTCCGAAGGATTGCTGACATCCAGTGGCAACACCATGTTAGTAATGCAGAGGTTCGGCATCGTGTGTTCGGGCACAGAGACGATAATGCAATTGGTGTCACCATCTTGAAACATCGACTTCGGTGGCTTGGACACGTTCTACGAATGTCGTCCCAGAGAATTCCACGTCGTGCATTATTTGCCGACCCTGGGACTGGTTGGAAAAAGTGGAGAAGTGGTCAGTGTATGACATGGTGTAGCGGTATGAAAGAAGGCTGCAAAGGACTGGCTTCTGTTGGTCCTTCACGACTACCTCGTTGGGGTCCTAGAGATGGTGCGAGACAGTGGCTAGAGACGTTACCAGATATGGCTCAGAATAGAAGCCAGTGGCGATCCTGCTGTAACTTTATTTTGCTCTCTTCATAAAAAGTGGTTATATCTTCCTTAACTGAAAGAATTCTTCTGGTTGTACCTTTCCGTTTCCCCCATTATTATTATTGCTGTTATTATTATTACTACGTTACCTTACACTAGTCTGTGGTCGTTATTGTTCTTCTTTTTTTTCTTTTACGCTCCTTACCTTTTTTTCTCTTACCATTCTTCTTATTTTGTGTGGCGCATATATATTTGATGCCACCTTGTACCAATATTTGTGTTCAAATATATATATATATATATATATATATATATATATATATATATATATATATATAAACTGCAGTCCACTACGGTAAGATAGTATATTTTCAGTGTTTGAATACCATTATTACAAAATATGTCGTGACGATAAACATTTAAAAACATTTTACAAGAAAAGCAATATTATTAAGATTAAATAAGTATATTAGCCAATATTTGTGTATCTGTATTGTGGCAGAAACATCATTTTAAAAGTATTAATGAGTTAAAGCTAATAGAACGACATATCATGCACATAGACTAGAAGCAAGCTGTACAGATGAACGCACTCGACCTTTGAACATGAAAGATGAGATCTGGTGGTTTAAACTGGTCCAACTGTTTAATTAGTCGGCCATCTTGTACGCTCTATGAGACATGTGAACGGGTACCCAACAGTTGGAATACAAGTATCAAATTTTCATAGATATGCTTGGAGCAAACAGATTATATTGCTTATAAGAAGATAACAATCTCAGATGTTTATTAGATCTACAAGCGCATATTAAACATCGTCAGACACTACCCTTTACAAATGCTTGAATTAGTTTTTACGAAATTATGAAATTAGAATTTACTCAGAACAATTTCAGTTACATACATTCATTCTAAATCCTTAGTATTTCAAACGAATACTCTTGAAATTTTATAACGACCGAATATTAAATTTTCCTATTTTTCATGTATCCGCGTACATATGTCTTTGACATTTACCAAGTGCATACATAAGTGATCCCGATCGAAGCTGCTACCTTGACGCGGTGGTCGGGCTTGCCTATCGTGATGACCCAACCGAGCTATATTGGCTGGAACATATGTTCCTGCAGGTTCTACCATGCCAGGCAGGTCGATTGGTGAACGGTAAGACTAAAAGCAGCAACTCAAGGTCTGAGGGCGAAGTCGTACTGCTGACTGTACAGAGGTGTGACAACAGTAAGGTGTTTCCCTCGGACAACCAGCATGACAGCGATGCTGCCTTCCCACAAGGAGGGGTGGGGTTAGAAAAGGTCGACCCTAAAAATGTCAAACCTCACCTTATCTCACGGATTTCCGTCTCCGGCGGTAAGGCCCTTTGAAGAACGGAGCTAACACGTCCAAAACCTTCCACGAAAAGGCCGTGCGCGACCGGCCTCAAGCAGTTGTCCCTTGGGCTCTGCGGTCACGCTCCCAGGTCGTCAAGACCAACACTAATCCAATTTCCTTTTCAGGTTCCTCAAGAAATACCCTTCCACGGTGTGGGCAGCCGGGAAGTGACATCAACCCTCATACCCGTAACAGCACAAGAGACCAAGGTGGTCACATTCAAATCCTTCCTACACCTCCTAATACCTCTCTTATCTCCCCGACTAACCCTCCTCACGTCTCTTTATCACCTCGCACCGCTAGGGCAAACGATTCGAGTACGTGGAACGCCATTCCTGGTCTCCTGAAACCACGCTCTAAACTACACGTAGGAGCTTTTAACGTACGAACACTTTGCCAAATAGGACAGCAGGCCTCCTTAGCTAAAACTTTAGAATCTCGCGCCATCGATGTGTGCTGCGTCTCCGAAACGCGCATACAGGATCCAAGTAGCGTCATTCATTTGACCTCACCATGCCAAAATAAAGAACCGACTCGATTTACGCTTCGTGTATCTGGAAGCCCTGATTCTGCTTCCCGTGGCCTCGCCGGCGTAGGTATAGCATTGAGTCCTAGGGCAGAACTAGCTCACTTAGAGTGGATCCCAGTAGACAGTCGTTTGTGCGCTGTCCGACCGAACGGAACAGTAAGAATCCGGCAAGATAGGGACACTCGTAGTTGCCTCTTCGTCGTCTCTGCCTATTCTCCCACTGACGTGGTTCAAAGAACAGATAATGGCGACCGTCTGCTGCAGCTATGCTCAGATAACCGCCTGTTCCTTGCAAATACTAACTTTAAGCATAAGGAAAAACATCTTTTAACATGGCGACCACCTAATTCGTCCCAACGTTGGACCCAAATAGATCACATCGCTATCAGCCACCGATGGAGGGGCTCGATAGAAGACTGTCGCTCATTCTGGAGCACATGCCTAGATTCTGATCATGCTCTAGTGCGAGCGCGTATTTGCTTGCGTCTTACTGGACGTAGGAAAGATCCTGCAAGGAAACCTCTTAGGGCCCTACTTAATGATAGTCAAGCTAAGAGTATATTTCAGGAACAACTAGGAAAACAGTTAGGCAGCCATGTATGTGATTCCCACCCCGATGCAGCATGGAATGATATCCGAAAAGCTGTGGAAACAGCAGTGATATCTGCTAGTAAGGTAAACCAGAAGGTCAGGGAGCAACACTGGATCTCAGCAGCATCTATCGCACTGATAGATGCTCGGAAACTCATTCCACCTGGATCTGAACATAATGAAGAGCGGAGCCAGCTTAAGCGCAAGCTGACAAGAAGTCTACGCAATGATCGTGAACAGTGGTGGGCAGCGATAGCGAGAGAGATGGAAAAGGCAGCGGCAATAGGTAATAGCAGACAATTGTTTAGACTCGTTAAGGAAACCGGAATTAGGAACCCGACTGTTAGCGAAACAATCTCAGAGAAAGATGGACATATTATTCATTCTCAATCCAGGAGATTGGATCGATGGGCAGAACACTTTAGGGATCAGTTCAACTGGCCTTCAGCCACACTTCGGCTTACCACGATCTCCAGTCAACCTGAATGGCAAGTTAATGTAGGTCCTCCGTCCCTTTACGAAGTTGAAAAAGCCATAGGAAATCTGAAACGAGGGAGAGCAGCAGGCCCTGACAGGTTTAATCCTGAGATTTTTAAGGATGGTGATCCAGTATTAGCAATGATTAACCGAGGTCTTAGGTAGAATTTGGGGACTGGACGTAATTCCATCTGACTGGTCTCAATCACTGATTGTGCCAGTCTATAAGAAAGGACAAAAGTCCTCTTGTGACAATCACAGAAGAATCAGTTTGACTAATATAGTGTCTAAAATATTAGCTTCAATAATACTTCGACGCCTAATCAAAGCTCGTGAAGAGCAGATTAGAGAAAACCAGGCTGGTTTTCGACCTGGACGTGGTTGTATAGATCAGATATTCACACTACGTCAGGTTCTAGAACACAGACACACATTCAGACGCCCCACAATGGTAGTATTTCTCGATCTTAAGGCGGCATTCGACTCTGTTGATCGTGAGGTTCTATGGCAGTGTTTGTCACTGAAAGGAGTACCAAAGAAGTACATTAACCTTATAAAGGCTCTCTACTCGAACACAACTGGTAGAGTGAGAGCTTATGGCGAACTGTCATCAGAATTGATTACCTCAAGTGGTGTTCGTCAGGGCTGTCCACTCTCCCCATTCTTGTTCAACTTTGTCATTGACGTACTTTTAGAGATAACACTCTCCTCATCTAAATTTCCAGGGGTTGAACTTCTACCGGGAGGTTCACTTGTTGACTTAGAATATGCAGATGACATAGTTTTATTTGGTGAAGACGCTGACAAAATGCAGAGTCTTCTGACCACTCTAAGCAACAATGCAAGCATGATAGGCATGCGATTCTCTCCCTCGAAATGCAAAATGTTGCTTCAGGATTGGGTTACATCGACACCCGAACTAGTGATAGGGAGTGAAGTAGTTGAGTGTGTCGACCGCTTCACTTATCTTGGAAGTCTCATCAGCCCTTGTGGTTTGGTGTGTGACGAAATCTCAGCACGGATACAGAAGGCTCGACTAGCTTTTGCCAACTTGCGTCATTTATGGCGTAGGCGAGATATCTGTCTATCAATCAAAGGACGTGTTTACTGCACAGCAGTTCGTTCCGTCCTACTTTATGGCAGTGAAACATGGCCGGTAAGAGTAGAGGATATTCGTAGGTTACTAGTATTCGATCATAGGTGTCTTCGAAACATTGCTCGTATATCATGGGACCATCGAGTAAGTAACACAGTTGTTAGGAAACGGGTACTAGGTAAGGATGGCAAATCAATTGATGAAGTAGTGAAACTTCATCAGTTGAGATGGCTGGGACACGTGTTACGTATGCCGAACGACCGACTACCTCGACGTGCGATGTTCAGTGGTATAGGAGTAGATTGGAAGAAAGCTAGGGGCGGCCAAACCAAAACATGGCACAAATCCATGAAGTCACTGACAAGTGAACTGAGTTATGTTGGTAGGTGTAGACTACCTGGTTGGGGACCGCGAGATGATAGCAACCGATGGTTGGAGACCCTGAATGACATGGCTCAAAATCGTTTGCAATGGCGCAGGTGCATCCACTCTTGTGTTCTCCCAAATTCTAATCTTCTGAATTCTTCATGTCCCTTTTTTCCTCTTTCCAAATTTATTTCACTGTATTATACTCTTTAAATAACATCTCCAAACACTAATTTTCCTGATTACTGCTTATACTCTTATTACCTCTACCACTACGGGATTTGAATCGACAACTGCATCTGTGTGCTAATGTGGTGTGGCAACTCGAACTGATGTACGTGCGTACGAAGTTCTACGTTGTTACTGACTGACTGACTGACTGACAATTTTATCTTGTTTTACTGAGACTTAACCCTTATTCCGTCCACTTATTTTGTATACTGAGTATAAAAACCTCGTTAGGCAATGATAAATCATTCCATCGGAAAGTATATACATAGTCATCAACCTATTTTGCACACTCCGTTGAAACCGAACTTCGTAAGCACTGTTTTGTTGCTCTTTTTTCATATGTACTTTTTCATCATCTGATTTCTCAGTGATCAGTCTTCCTGAAGATCCATTCACTGACTTGCAATATTATCATGCTATAGTATTGTTTAATGAGAACTAACAAGATGTAGCCATATGAGCACTTTGAGTAATAAAGCAGATATTAATTTTTATTCCTCTAGATGTAAAATGTTTGTGACTGACTCTCATTAAATAAACGTCATTACAGTAGATCTATGTATATAAAACTCGAAAGTTTGTTTTCTTTGTTTGCGACCCCACATACTACTAGAATAAACTAGTTCACACTAAAAAGTTGGTTATGGAAATAGAACGTAAGACTAATAATAATCACTCACCAAGTAATAAATATTGAGCAAGTCTCTCAAAGGGAATACAGATTGCAACATTGTCTTTTCCCACAGTTTTGATAGACTAGAATATCAATATAAATCGAAGTTATTTAGCGTATACTAACATTCAAAACATTCAAAATGTCACCATCCATAAATATGATGAGATCCTGGATTGTTTCGCTAAAAGTAACAACCAATACAAATTACAGGACCACTGTTGACAGGAAGAATTCGAGCTACAAGGTGACCTGAAAAACACAGGAGTGTTCATTTGAATAAACATACTGATAAATTATAAAGCGAAATAGATGATTTGACGTTACAGAAATATTGCAACAATGACTACCAAGTAACAAAATGACGACAGGATATGCCAGAAGTACAACAAACTTCACTAACCATGATCGAGAATAACTAATAGCAATTATTAATACAAAGTGATTAACTTATCGATGTAGGTATAAATAATTTCCTAGAATAAATAGTTGTGTAGACGCCTGAGATTAATGCTAAACTTGTTCGTAACATTAGATACCAGCTAGCTTAGAGTAATTAGTCAGAGTAATACTAGATCAAGCTACGAGCAAGTGAAGAACGTTTCATACGCTTTAGCTGACCAGTTTAAATGGTAGGTTAAGTAATTTTCGGATACAGTCAAATAAACCCATCCTCTTAACCATCATCCCCTTAGAACTTGCTTGTATTTGACTTCGTTAAGAGTACTGTCCCGCATTCATGTTGTTTTAACCGTCAACTCCGTTAGTTACCAATGGATTAACAAACACATATGAGAGTATTAAGGATTGTTTGATGAGAGAAGCCGAGAAGATATGGGAGTGAGACTATAATTCATGTGTTTAGGAACTAGAGTGAGTTTTCGTGGCGAACTGACGTCAGATATAGTATGACATTGAATGCGAATACGACTTATGCACAAACTAATAAAATTCAAGATCTAAGGTCGGCTCATAATTTATTTATCAATATGTCTAAGTAGTATATACTAATAACATATATTAGCACTATAGCTTAAATCAGATCGTGACGAAAAAAACACTAATTCCCAACCTTAAAGTCTAACTGTAAATCCTAATCTCAGTTCCCCACAAAAACAAAAACCATTTCAAACTTTCGTCGTCACTAATGCACGAGACTCACGAAACTAACCACCAACCTTAAAAGTAGCGCCAATACCGAATTTCCGCCTTCAAACTCAAGGGTATAAATTGAATTTGAAACCGCAAAAGGTTTCGTATCCTTATTTCGAAACAAGAGCTAGTATCCAACCCATCTATTTGGAGCTAATATAAGCTCAACCTTAACAGCTGGAGTAATGTGGACACACTGTGACGTGCATGAGTTCACATCGTAGCGGTAAATAAATCCCCAAAATAAATACCTCTGTAAGTTTTCAACATTGGATGCTGACCACATTAGTTCTAATGAACCCACTTAGCTGAAGGCGCTCGGTCATGCATCCGCACCAGATCACGAGTGGGAACGCCGTGCTCAACAACACCTGCAATCGCTAGCCAGATTAGATCAGACGATCCTCGATACATTGATAGCCTATCAAACATATTTTCGAACATCCTCGCTTCTGGCTTTTGATTTCACTTGGTGGGTACGATTCATATAAGGTTTTACTGGTTGAATCGTTGTCAAACTCCGAATACCTGTGGCATCTTCAACATCATGTTCTAAGGAAAGTATCAAAAAGTGCCCGGCTTCTTTTACCTAGACGAATCTAAAAGCTGTCGTACTGCTCAGACGATCTAAAAATTATGATGTTTACTACGTGGAATTGTGCAGTCGCTCCTAAGTTTTATCTGATGATGGATTAAACGCCACGACGTGTCTGAATTTAAGTAGCTGAACGTCATTCACCAGGTATGCATTTGTACCATTGAGACTAATGTGCACCATAATGCACTTTGAAGATGCCGGAATCTGGAACATGCAAACAACTTCTTTAGATTTTTTGAAACTACGAACTATCCTTCTCGTGACGTTCTGTCTCCTATATCTTGATATTTCCAGCATATAGAAAGAAGAGTGCTGATAGGAGACTATGAGGGATATTTAAGAGCTACTAATCCTTTCGCGATATATTGTTAACTTGTTCTACAATAAAGCTACCTTTCTGGGAGGATTAGGTTTTAATCTGGTTACGCAGATAACCTCTTACATATAATGTTTCCTAGAACCGTGATATTCGCTCCGGTTAAACTTGCAGAGCGATAATTCACATGTTAATGCCTAACACCTGTTTTGGAGGTAGAACATACTTTGAGGTTGTTTTAGTCGTTCGGTGATTTTCTTTAAGTTACATGTACGTAAAATCCCTATATCACCTGTCTTTATGCTGGATAGCCAAAGAGAAACAAATTAAGTAAGAGCTAGAAAACAAATGTTTCTGAATGTATATTTAATTTGTAGATCATCAACGTAGATTATCTATGCCTAATGATTGGAGACCTACTCGAATTGAACAGGAATGGTATGACGAACCGGCTAAATTCGAAGTCACGCTTCGCCGTTAACATCTTACGTGTATCACCCCCTCGACGTATTAAAGTACCGTGGCTTCATTGAAGACCGTATAACACAAAGGAAGTTATGATGAAAATGTATTTGTAAGAATGAGTGCATAGAAGATAGCGAGATTACCATCCCATGCACCAGTTCACGACATACGATTAACTGATGCGCGTTGGTTGTCCTTGACCTCGATGCGAATCGACGTTCTGTTCGATATTCAGTAACCCAACTGCGGGATGGTTTGGCTAGGGCTCAGCGACGTTTCGCTGGCCCTACAAAATGCATAAAATAATTAAAATGTACGGCAAAAATAAACAACCAAAGTATTATAGAACTGAGTGGACACAACTAGGATGAAACAATATTAGAATTGAAAGCATACCAGAATTAGAACTTTGCAGTTATATTGAAGTTATATTGACATGAGCATTTAGAATTCCCAGCAATAACAATAACAGAAACACTAGGAATAAAATATCCAAGTCCATCTGTAGCCTTTCTAGCATTACTACAAGTCCATAACCCTGATAAGAGGGGAAAACCTTGCTAAAGAACGCTTACTGCAAAGTAGATCCTAGACTTCATTAGACTTTTCTAATCTTAATCCTGATCAAATAAATTCACGTGCCGATTAGTCAGCCAACCACATGGATGGATTTCAAAAGGAGTCACTTGACGTCCGAATTAGTCACAGAACTAGACACTAACCACTGGAATCGAACCAGTGTATTTGACAGTCACATATTCAGACATCATTTTCAAAAATGAATACACAAGTATGTTCATTTAAAATATATCTATTAAGTGCCATAAAAGCATACACTTGAAGAATTTGTGATGGAGGTCATGGGTTCCTTTAAAGTCTTATGATGCATTACATCGGATCCAGTGGATTTGTGGAACTATGGTCTACTATGATATTATTACTGCTCTAATAATAGGCCTAATCCTAAAATTGTAGATTTGTCACGATATAACTGCCTAACCTTTAAGATCTTACGTGGGAGTCACATCGCCGTCTACATCAACTCACTGTATCATAACATTTACCAATAAATGATGGGGAACAAGCGTAGGCTAGAGAAAGAACAATATATTTAATATGAATAAAAGATATAAGGCAACATTCAGCAGGGACCACTCCTGCATGGCCGAGCCATGCCATTCGGTCAACCCCAATTCATTTAATTCCTTGTTTCCGCCTCTTTCATCGTTATGCATTTCTCAGTGTTAAATACTGAATATCTATTTCCCGAGTAGTCTTGTGTTCAGCTTTGAAGATTGTATGCTTAAGGACCAAGGCCACTACACTACTCTCCCACCAGAATCAACGTGATGTTGGTTCGATACCAAATTGGATGGGATCGTTACGCGCCGGAGGTTACCAAGAATAATAAGGATCCTCCGGGTATTGATAAGCTGAAAGATAAATCGAAAAGAAGGCGGCAGCATCTGGTCGGGAAATACATATAATAATTTTAAAATATCTGCCTTCATGCTTAACGCACTAAAAATGAAAATTTGGGCCATAAAAAATGGGACTACAATAATAATAATAATAATAATAATAAAACGATGCTTGTTAATAGCCGTAGGGTTAATAACTTAACTCATAGGTAATATGTATTTTGTGTTTAAAAATATCAAAAGTAATCAATATTGTAGAAATGTTTATTGGTATTAGTTTTGGTTTAAATTATAAAATCAAATAACGTTCATGCTAACAAGTTGTCCATGAGTTGATTTTCAATTGCATTTGTATTAATAGACTAACTGAAGGAACAAAAGTATTACCGTGGAGAAGAATTCCAACTAGTGTTCCAGTTAGTTTGATACGGTTTATTTAGTTACGGGGAGATTTTCTCAACCTCATTTTTACTTGACCGTGATAGAATTTAGTATTAGTACTAATACACATGAATGGTTATCAAGACAAAATTTAAATACGTGAGTGATAATTATATGAATTTTGGACAGATAGCTAGGAACAAATCGTTAAACATGAGTGTATTCGTAAGAGATATGCTCTAGACTCATTGTTCTCATCTGCGGCAGACTATTTATTTATATTTATACTTGCCGGCACATTGGGCATACAAGTTAGTTGCAAGTATGCAGTTTATCATAAGGCGGAATACGATTTAATTCTAAGTTATTGAAATCAGTTAAGCCTATGTGTCATATTACTAAGTGATGTGGTGCTGCAAGATGTATTTGGCTAAATAAGGTTTTACAAGATGATTAAGTGAGTGATGCTCATGTGATTATCAGGGAGAACATAAGTTGTAACCAGGGGGAGTACACTCCCAACTCATGTCTATGATAATGGCTTGAACCTTGGTCAGTATTGGGGTAAATTCGACATTGATGTTTTCAGTTTGCAGGAGATTTGCTCGACTGCTTATACTGATTATTTGCATGTATGACTGTGTCGCTAAACCATCAATTAGACTGACAAGGTTTTACTTAATGAGCGACTGATAGAGAAACATACTGTAATCATTTGTAGTGAATAAAGATAAAAGAAAAACAACACTAGTGATAATTATAAAACTCCGCCTGTAGCTCTTCTAGAGTTACTACCGGTCCCAAGCCCGGGTAAAGGAGGAGG